TGCTGTGATTGTATTTTCTTGTGGACTAGGATGGATTTATGCATGAATTACAGACACTTCTGCCACTTAGCTATAAAAATGTGTATTTGTCTCCCACAGACTATAACATACGGTGGAGTAACGCTTGTCAGAAGAGGCAAGAAAGTCTGAAGACAGATCCCCACCTCTGTGACACCTTTACATACCTGAAATAAAGTGCACTTTCCACAAGGTGTGATCTCTGTTTTATCTGAACAACAGTACAGGAAATCATGATGATTTCTGCTCTCCTTTCTCACAGCACCTCCCCTTGTTACAGGACTGTGTTTTCCCCCCTGTCCTCAGAGTGACAGAAATTTGCCTCCCAGACAACCCAACCTGGACATAAATCACACTGCTCCAGTTCACCACAATAATCCTTGGGAGCAGCCAAAAGCTACAGAAATGCTCCTTGATTTCTTACCCACAGACTGAACACACTCAGCTTTAGTTTTGCTGAAGGTTAGTCTTTAACCAAAGCCCGTTCTCTATGACCTGGCCAACAGGGAACAATCAGGCATTTGTTGAGCTGATCTGAACCACATGGCCCAGCAACAGAAACAGCAATATTTTAAAAGCTGTGAAGCACTCACCAGTCATTAACAATAGGGATGGCTGTTCTTAAACTGAATTACACAGAAGGACAAATAAGAGGCACTACAAGAGCAAAGAGAATTAAACATTCTTCCAATTTGCAATGAACTCCAAGTGTCTTGTCATGGCCCAAGTTTGTGAAGCTCAGGTAAACCAGACTTTGTTCAGACCCTGTGCCTCTATTAAGTATAAAACACACAGGATTAAGTATAAAACACACAGGTTCTGTGCCTAGAACCATTCCTCTGCTGGTTAGATCCTATTATTGTACCAGCAGCCTGAAATTTCACAATTTCAGTCACTCTCTATGACCTGGCCAACAGGGAACAATCAGGCATTTGTTGAGCTGATCTGAACCACATGGCCCAGCAACAGAAACAGCAATATTTTAAAAGCTGTGAAGCACTCACCAGTCATTAACAATAGGGATGGCTGTTCTTAAACTGAATTACACAGAAGGACAAATAAGGGGCACTACAAGAGCAAAGAGAATTAAACATTCTTCCAATTTGCCATGAACTCCAAGTGTCTTGTCATGGCCCAAGTTTGTGAAGCTCAGGTAAACCAGACTTTGTTCAGACCCTGTGCCTCTATTAGGTATAAAACACACAGGATTAAGTATAAAACACACAGGTTCTGTGCCTAGAACCATTCCTCTGCTGGTTAGATCCTATTATTGTACCAGCAGCCCCATTTCATATTTTCAGTCAGTGCAGATTTGTTAGAATTGGTTTTAGGTGCAAGCCCTCCATGAACGAAGCTGCTGGAGTGATAATGCCATTTAAAATCCTCATGGGGAAGGTTTTACCCCAGTGAAGATGCTGAGTTTCCATCTCCCCATGCTAGAAGAGCAGTTTGTGAGGGGAGAGGTTGTGTTTTATTAACAACACAATGTGATACAAGCAATTTGGGAAGTGTATTCTCACTCTGGGATAAGGCTGTTCTCAGGGGGAGTTTCACTGGCATAAAGGATCATTGTGCTCATTCTGCTTCCCAGGCAGCTCCAATGCCAAGCACAGTCCTGCAGCCAGAATTAAATTCCATGTGAGTTACACAGAAATAAGATCAGCAGCACAGAAATCGGGGCTGGTAAAACTCAGGGAGGAGGAGGAGGGTGCTTTAAAGCACCGGTGCTGCAAAAAGCCACCCAAGAACTCAGCACCCTTCTGTCTGGGAGTTGCTGGGTAACTGCTGCAAACACACCCTGAAACCAAACACACGCTGCGGTTTTCCAGCAGGAAATTCACAGAGTGCTGCAGGTCTGCAAGGATCAAAGGCTGTGCCTGCAAACTGGAGGATGGAACACGCAAGACACTTCAGGTTTATTTCTAAACCAAGGCAGAGATCCTTCATGACTCATTTCAAACCCGTTACAAAATGATTGCTGGAGGTACTAACGCTAAAAGCACACTAACCTTATTTAGAACTTCAAGAACTCTTGCCAAGTCATTCTAATGGATAAAAATCTAAAAAATTAAAAGAACACTTCACCTGGCTTTCTTCACAACTGCAATGATTTCATTTTTCCAGCAGTGGTGCCAATCTTTCCCATCCTTCTGGCAATGTCCTTCTGCCACAAGACACCCCAGATTTGGGGGAATATTCAGTGCAGGTCCTTATGTGAAGCAGTCAAAGTGAAGGATTTTGATCAGACTGAGATCTGTGTCCCATGGCCCAAAGAAATTAGCATTCCTAGATGGCATAACAGGCTGGGATGGCAGCTCTGGATTCATTATTCCACAAAATCAAGTGCATTTTTCTGTGAATGACTCCACTGGAGTATTTATAATCAAACTTGGATCTAGTTCAAACTTTTGATTCCCAATCTGACAAGCTCTGACAAGGTAATCCTGGCAGCATGGATTTCTATCCACCAAAGTCCACTCTTTGGTAAATTCATTGTTTTCAGAATGTCTGCAAAATATTTTTTTTCTTTTTTGCTCTGTGCCAAACACTCCCACCACAATTCCAGTCTCTGATGTGTGTTCTTGGCTTGATTTTTGGTTCTTTTAATGTTTTGTGTGAGCAGATCTGTTTATATTGCACAAGGTAACAACTCGACCTGCTGCTTGCATACAGAAAAATGTTAACTGTAAATATTTAATGCAAAAAACGTGCTCAGAGGTCCCCATCCCTTCTCTGTTGAGTCCTGCACACAGACCCTGAACATACAACCACATAAATTCCTTTTTTTTTTGGAAGTGTAGATGTCTGCACGTCTTCTGTGTTAGTAACTGAACTTCATCTGCCATTCAAACTTGAATCATCTGTCATTCAAAACCTGTAAAAATCAGGCACTTCTTAGTGAGAGATTGCCAAGATACGAACAGCAATGTCCTCCCACCAGTTTTCATTCATGAATATTAAAAATAAAGATGAAAATACACTGGTGGCAGACAGCAGGGCTGCATCAGCTCCAAGTCCTTCTGTCCCTGCAGGAGTTTGCTGAAAATCCCTCACATGAAAATGCAGATACTTTTCAGTGAACTCTTCACCAAACCCTGTGACTGCAGGGTCAGATGTGCCTTTTATCCACCTTTATGTGAGTCACACATGAGCGTGCTAAGAAATAATCTCTCCACCCACCAACTGCATTGTTTTCACCACACAAACAGCTTGAATGGAAAGGGCTGGTCCTGTGCAAACAGCCTGGTGAAAACTCCTGGGGCTCAGCAGGGCTGTGTGTAACGGTGCTCTCCACAAAAACTGCATTAATTACTCCATGTGCAACAGTAGTTACACACTCCAGAGAGACACTGGTCATTTATTTCAGTGTTGCCCAGTTGGGGCCCTGTGGGATTCCACAAATCGAGCACACCAACGATCAAAACTTAGAGTTTGCTGAAAATCCCTCACATGAAAATGCAGATACTTTTCAGTGAACTCTTCACCAAACCCTGTGACTGCGGGGTCAGATGTGCCTTTTATCCACCTTTATGTGAGTCACACATGAGCGTGCTAAGAAATAATCTCTCCACCCACCAACTGCATTGTTTTCACCACACAAACAGCTTGAATGGAAAGGGCTGGTCCTGTGCAAACAGCCTGGTGAAAACTCCTGGGGCTCAGCAGGGCTGTGTGTAACGGTGCTCTCCACAAAAACTGCATTAATTACTCCATGTGCAACAGTAGTTACACACTCCAGAGAGACACTGGTCATTTATTTCAGTGTTGCCCAGTTGGGGCCCTGTGGGATTCCACAAATCGAGCACACCAACGATCAAAATTTATTCCTATTTACACATTTTAGCAAACAAAAGAATTAGTGTGCCTTGGCTACAAGTCGTGTAGTCTAACGGTGCTCTCCACAAAAACTGCATTAATTACTCCATGTGCAACAGTAGTTACACACTCCAGAGAGACACTGGTCATTTATTTCAGTGTTGCCCAGTTGGGGCCCTGTGGGATTCCACAAATCGAGCACACCAACGATCAAAACTTATTACTATTTACACATTTTAGCAAACAAAGGAATTAGTGTGCCTTGGCTACAAGTCATGTAGTTCTGAATTAGTATTCTATCTTCTGTTGGTTAATTATTCTGTTGTTTCTCATGCTAATTAGTCCTGTTCTCTCCTTTTGGGTCAGTGGTCTGTGGGTTGGTGGTCATGACCTGCCCCTGAAGATGTAAAACGGAAAATTACGTTTTACCCAGTTGGAGATCACTTCAGCACAGTTGCTAAATTTGGTTTATTAGTTTCTTCCTTATCTTGCCAGATGGCCCATAAATTCTGCATTCTTTGTGTCGTCTATCAGCGGGTATCCTTTTTTCTCAAGCTTTGTTAACCTCCCCCTAGGTCTGAGATCATCGAAGCATGTCCAGCCTTCAACCTCAACAAGGCAGTTCTACCAATCTGTTATTCTAACACACTTAGAGCTCATTGGCTGCCGTTTCACGGGTTACATCTCCTTTCTTGTTGATCAGGCTTGAAAGCCTAAAAACGTCAAACATCAAAGAACATCTTTTCTTAACACAACTTATACATACTCCACATTTTGCAACAGCAAGGCCGCAGCACAGCGATCCCTTGAGCCTCAGGAAGGGCGTTACAGCCCGAGGCCGTGTCAGTTGGCTGCACAGGAGGGAGCCACGGCGCTCTGAGGCGGCCGCACAAGGCCGGGCCGCGCTCTCCCCTCACGGCGGGGGCGCAGCCGCCATCTTGCCCCGCGCGCGCTCCCCCTCCCCTCTCTTTCGGCGGGAAAAGCGAAGCCCCGCGAGCGGGAAGGGGGGGGGAGAGCACCGCGCATGCGCAGCGCGCGCCGGAGGGCCCGCGAGCTCCCGCGCGGCGTCGGGGCGCATGCGCGTTGCTGAAACCGGGCTGGATTTTGGCGCCGCGTTTCGCTCTCGCCGGAAGCCCCCCCCCGCCTCCCCGGGAAGTCTCGCGAGAGGCGGCGCGCGGGCGGGCGGTGCAGCTCCCCCAGGGTCGCCTCAGCCGCTCCCGCCGCGCCCGGGCCGCGCTCGCTCCTTCCCTCCCTCCTTCCTTCCTTCCTTCCTTCCCTCCTCTCCTTCCTGCCGTCCGTCCCAGCGCCGCCGACATGTCCCGCTACCTGCGGCCCCCCAACACCTCGCTCTTCGTGCGGAACGTGGCCGACGACACCCGGTGAGTGGGGGCGGAGCGGGGGCTCGCGCAGGCTTTGGCGGGCTCGCTAGGCCGCGGGCGCCGGGGTCCCCCCGCAGCCGGGGGAGGGAGGGGGGCGAGCCCGCCCCGCTCCTTTCCTCCGCTTTGCCTTCTCCCTTCTCCCTGCCCTGCCTTCCATTTTCCTCGCGATGCTGCTCGTTCCCCGCCTCTCCACGCGGGTTCGTTTCCAAACAGCGTCCAGACAGAACAAAGCTGGGCCGCAACAAAGTGAAACTCCCCGCAGCCGCCTTGGAGCGCGTCCAGCGGGAGAGCCGGGCGGGATGTGCCAGCGGGGCGATGCTGGACAGCCGCTGCAGTTTGGGATGCTCCTCTGGAAGGGCAGTATTGCTGCTAGATGGGAGGAAATAGAGCGTTTGTGCCCAAAATTCCCGGCGTGGCCGGTGCCGTTAGTGTGGGCGCTGCTGCCGGTGCAGGTGGAACGTTCTGCCGTGGTTGCTGTGTACCGGCGTCTCTCGGGACGCTCAGTCCGAAATCGAGGGAAGCAATGCTTGGACTCCGTTATAATCGTGTGGTTCCGAGAGTCCCTAAGGACTAAACATGTGCGGTGAGAGAACTTCTCGTAGGGAATTGAACAACAAAAACAGAGCATTGCACAGGTTCTTATTTATTCCTTGTATGCTTTTCGTGAGCTGCTGGCTTTCCTCGTTTCACTTGGGCAATTTAGTGACCAAAACCACCTTTGGTGTTTGTTATCAGCTGTTGAACATTTACACATCATCCTGTGGGCACGATGGAATTGAATGAAATTAAAAGTTTTATTTTTTTTTTCCATGAGTTTGTTCATTTTTCCAGTAGTTTATTTTACTTTAAGAACAGCTGAGGATGATCACTTCCAAATTACAGTAATGTGGATCCTGCTGAGGATTCACCTTGAGCACAGAGTTCTTGGAGGTGGTTTCATTGTGAGATCTCCGTGTTGGTGGCAGTTCCCTTCTGCCAGCACTGACTGTGGAGATTTATTTCCCAACTGGTGCAAGAGAAATAATACTAAAAACCAGTAGTAACTCTCACATAGCACCTAAATATGGTATTGCATCGATCTTCTCATGCAGGTTTTTGTCCTCAAATTAAATGTGAGGAGCTGATGTGAATGAGAAGCCTCTGTGAGGAGAGGCTGTTGTTCCAGGGGTGGCTGCAGCTGAGCAGTTCTGTCTCAGCTCTCTAAAGCCAACTCTTTGGAAAAACTATCCCGAGGGCATGAGTGGCTGCTCACTGAGATCTGTTCTGTTTGATGTGGTTGTAAGTATTGATTATTCTATGGAAATGAGTTGGGGTGACTGGTTTGGTCTCATAATGTTTATTTGGATCTCATAATTGATGTTTGTGTGTTGCAAAATCACTGTCGAGATACTTGAATAATAATGATAATTTAACAATCCTTTCTTTCACTTTCTGCATTGAATGAACTGGTCTGCATCACTTCTCAGTTTACATTTTTATTTTTGGGGTTGTGCTGAAGGCTGCTTTCAAACTGCCAGGGTGTACTTGAGCATCCTGAGACCTGAGTGTGCCAAAAAAGCTCCAACAGGGAACTGCCCAAACACAATTCCCATCAAAAATACTACTTTCATCCTCCACCAAATGCTTCCAAAAACCAGGGATGCTGCTATTAACTGTAGATCTGACTTTTTTTGCTTGTTTAGTTCAATTTTGGTGGGTGTTTGTGGCACCCCAAGCCGTGCCAAAGCCATATCAGGTGTTTGTGGTGTTGCAGGTCCGAAGACTTGCGCCGGGAGTTTGGTCGTTATGGGCCTATAGTTGATGTTTACGTTCCTCTTGACTTCTACACTCGTCGTCCCAGAGGATTTGCCTATGTTCAATATCCTTTCTTCAGATGGCTCATTAGTGAGGGGTGTTGAAGTTTGAAATTCAAGTTTGTGTAAGAGGTAACCAATCTAAATGAAAAAGCAGTTTACTTTTGTGTTGTATCTAATAAGTGTCTTACTGATGTCGTGGTGTTTTGTTATTTTTGAAGATTAACTTCTCTCAATTGTTCTTTGCCTTTTTTGCAAAACTTAAGTCCAGTAATATAAAAGCTTGCTTATGTCACTGAAATTAATATTATATGATTTAAATGAAAATTTATCACTGACTCAAAATTGTCTAGCACGTTTTTATTACTGGTGTGTAAGTAAAGTTGTGCTTAGCAAAATGTGGCTGCTATTCATTGTTAATTTAACAAATTGAAACTGGAATCACTTGATCAAAATCAGATTGTGTAAAAAATGAGGTGAACTTCTTTCTTTAATATTGTCCCCTAATTTGCTGTCCTCTGTTGTTGCCTCAGAATGTAAAGCTGTACAGTAATGGCGACCCCAAAGAGAAAGCATGAAAGAACCTTTAGAGTAGAGTTCAACAATTAAGGCAAGTAGACAAGCCAAAGACCTCTTAAGGATCAGGCTTGAAGAGAAGGGAGAGTTTGGGAAAAGAAAAAATAAAGAAAAGCTGGAAGAAGGACAAGCCATAATGGGAGACAAAGCTTCGCTTTATCTACAAAAGGGGGAAAAGGTTGTTTTTCAAAGTTAAAGATAAAGCCATCTGTCATTTTTGGCCAAGCATCTCATGACAAGTCCTTCTGACAAGCACTTAAAGAGTTAAAGGTCAAGATGAAGTTGAATGGTGGCCAAGATTAAAGGAGTCATACCTGATGTATCCTACAGAATAACAGTTTTTCTTCTGTCTGTCATGTAAGCAGTAATTTGATGAATTATTCTGGTTTAGTCCATTGACAAAACCTGTAATATTTCTCTTGTGAGTGCTACTGTAACTGTGGTCTGAATGAAATGGAAGTTTCTCTCCTGCAGAGATGATGCTGCTGAGAAATGAGTGGCCTGGAGGGGAAAGGCAGCTCATTGTTTTGGGTCCCAAGAGCTGGAATTAGGGGTGTAAATTCCAGCATTAAAACAAATGTCTGTCACTGTACCTTGGCCCTGAGTGGCAGCTCAGGGCTCCCAGTGTCTGCTCTTCTCTCACACTGGGGAGGCTCTGCACACAGGGCTGTGACATGACATCACTTAAACCTAAAATCAGTTGCTTAAAACAAAAAGGAAAACTTTATTCCAATTCCAAAGTTAATATTTACTGTTGGTATGTCCAACATAACTTAAGAACTAGGGCTTAATTTTAACAACCTCAATGTAGTGGAGAGAACTAAATGACCATTAACAAGTGTGTTTTGAAAGGATACCTTTGTTTTCTTTGCATAAGTACAAGTGGGAGAAGAAAAAAAATTAAAAGTATCACTTAGCAAGTGCTTGCTGATGGATAAATTCATGGTCATATTACAAGATTTTAATTGTATAACAGGAGTTCTCAGATAGCTGGTGGTTAATTTAAAAAAACACTAGTGTGTAGAGTAGCATGACCAAAAAAACCTTAAAACATGGCTGTAAAATGAGAAAATAACTTGCAGATTTTTATTTTAAATACCAAATCTGTTAAACTGCTCAAATTCCCAAGTACCTTAACACTGCCCACATTTGAAGATGTCCGTGATGCAGAAGATGCTCTCCATAATTTGGATCGAAAGTGGATTTGTGGTCGGCAAATAGAAATCCAGTTTGCACAGGGGGACCGCAAGAGTAAGTGCCTGGATTTTATCTCTCCCTGGATTTCAGCACCCAGCACTGCACGTGCTGCTAATTGTTGTGATGTGTTCTTATTGTGTATAAATAGCACATGGATGTCCTGCCTTTCATGCAGTAACTGTTAATGACTCGTTTAATTATAAATGGATAACTAAGTACAGCAGTCACCACAGTCATTCTTTGGAGCTTTCTCTGTAGGATTGAGGTAATGTCTTCATTTTCATTTGGCTTCAGGATAAAATTCATTTTCAAGTTACCTCAGTTGAAGGTGGAGCAGAACTTGTATTTTCTGAACATATAAATGTAAAGAGAATGTAGATGTTGCAAATCTGTTGTTTGTGTTGCAGGGAGATACAGATTTGTAAAACCTGGCTCAGGCCTGTTGGTCTAAACCAGGACTGTAATACTCATGTGATGCCTGGGAATAAAAAGACCTTAAAGGTCTTTAGTTACAGCTCTCAGAGAAACAACCTGACTGTCCAGCTCTCCCTCAAGTCCTCACAAGTAACTCTAATGGAGTCAATGGAAATTCTACACTCCAAAGGACAACTTTCTGCCCTGTGTATAAACATTGGGGTTTCTAACAAGTTTCTGGGCAAAATTAACTGAATCCACCTTAGTGTATTGCAAGCAGCACTAAAAACTTAAAATTTGAAACAGTTTAATACAGAGGATGTTTGTTCCAGCATGCTTAAAATACTTAAAATAAAGAGCATGGTCTTTGGGTTTGAATTTGATACAAAGGAAGGATAGCTGTGCTGCTTAGAGGAAATACAGTGGAAGACTAATAGGTTCATTCATTCTTAATTACTTTAATAACTAAGCTGCAGAGTGAATTGGAATTCTTTTACTGGGGGATTCCTTTTGGAATCAGAATTCCCTTTGTGTGGCATCCACCAAAGCCTTTGTATAAGCTGGGCCTTTAATCATTAAAGGCAGCTGTGGATCAGGTGTGATGATGGTGCTGTGCAGTCAGGAGAAAGTGTTTAATTAGCTTTCACTCACTGGGTAAATTCAGGAATGTCAGAATGTGTCAGTCATGGGTCTGACCTGCTGTACCAGTTTCCAGCTGGCCTGAAATCACCTTGGCCAGCTCTGTGTTCTGGTTTTATGGAGCATTAGTCCTTTCTGACTGGTTTTGAGGGTTTTTTTTTGTTTGTTTTGCTTTCTAGATTTACAGTGCCCCCAAGGCTGCATTAATTTGTGTCCAGTGGCTCAAGCAGCACAAAACGAGTGGCACAGAGCAGCCTCTCACCTGTCCCTTCATAAACATCAAATCACAAATGCACCTTTCTGCTCAACACCAAACACATGACTTAAACCTTGAGGGGAAAAAGTAGGGCATCATCTTCACCTGCAATATTGCTATTTTTACAGCACCAAACCAAATGAAAGCCAAGGAAGGGAGAAACCTGTACAGTTCTTCTCGTTACGATGACTATGACAGATACAGGCGGTCTCGGAGTCGCAGCTACGAGCGCAGACGGTCGAGGAGTCGCTCCTTTGATTACAGCTATAGAAGATCCTATAGTCCCAGAAAGTAAGTGTAGTGTGTGGGGCTGGCCTCAGCTGCACAGCACAGACACACCACGCTGACTATTTCATTGTTTCAGTTTGGAATAATCTTTTTTGTTCTATCGTGGGAGTAACCGCTGGGAGTTGCGTACCTTGCATGCTGCATCTGATCAGTAGTAGTGAATGAAACGATTCTGTGCTGCATTGGAGAATAACCAAAAGCAAATGCACAGCTTCAAAGTAGAATGTGTTAAGTGTTTGTACGTTTACGTAGGTATTTGTCACCGTTTACTTTTTCTGATGTACCTTTTTAGCAGTAGACCTACTGGAAGACCTCGTCGTAGCAGAAGCCATTCGGACAATGATAGGTAAAAAAACACTTTTTACACCCTTTAAATTGCAAGCTAGATCACTGTATTCCTTTAACTATAGGTTTAAAAAAAAGTTTCTCCTGCAAAAACGGTAAACAATTTTTAATGTACTAGATGTCTAAGAATAGTGTTTTTACATTCAAATCTCCTCTCTCCCCTTTATTCTGATAGGTTCAAACACCGCAATCGATCTTTTTCAAGATCTAAGTCCAATTCAAGATCACGATCCAAGTCACAGCCCAAGAAAGAAATGAAGGCTAAATCACGGTCTAGGTCTGCATCTCACACCAAATCTAGAGGCACCTCTAAAACAGATTCTAAAACACACTATAAGTCCAGCTCAAGATATGAGAAGGAGTCGAGAAAAAAAGAACCAGCTAGATCCAAATCACAGTCAAGATCACATTCTAGATCTAGGTCAAAATCCAGATCGAGGTCTTGGACTAGTCCCAAGTCCAGTGGCCACTAACAGTGTATCCATGTTGGTTTAGGCATGTAAGATTCATTTACACACAGTTCAGTTTACTTAAATTATCAGGAATATGATGTTGCAACAGTGCTAAAAAATATTTTCTTTGTCAGTTTTCCCTATAGGCGACAATGGTTGAAATTAAAACAGTGTTGAGAAGCCACAGAGAGAGAGAGAGAGGGAGAGAGTTTGTCCACTTGGTTAAATGTCATGGGCAGCTACTGATTTGGTTGTGGTGTCTCTATGTATATTTTTGTAAAGATTTGCATTTTTAATGCTTAGATATTTGGTGATGACTTGGTTGATCGTAACTTGCAACATTGTCCTTTTACAAATGTCACACCCATAGAGAAATTGGTACCAGTTTGTGCTGGGCAGTTAAACCAGCTGTTTAACTGGTTCTTCAACTCTATAAACTTTGTGAGGAAAAGGAAAACTGGACAGCTGTAGTGCAACACTGGCTGCTGGGAAATCAGACTGGCAGTTTGTTTCCATGGCTCCAGGGCAGGTTTCAGTGTTCTCCGTGCCCACCAGCACCAGCAGGTTGGCACATGGAGCTCTGTGGAGGGAGATTTGGGAGATTTCTCTTTAGCCTGCTGTCTGGAGAGATGGTACTAACCTTGCATGTACGACATGGGCAGAGAGCTGCTCCTGGAGCTCGCTCAGAGCCTGTGCAGTGTTGTGACCCCTCGGGATGGAGGCTTCACTGCCTCTGCCCTGGCTGCTGGTGCTGAATGTGAGGGAAAAACCCACCTTGCAATGGAATACCTAAATTCAGATTTCAGCAAACGGCAGAGCAACTAAATATTAGGTTGTGTGTACATTTTATGCAGTTTTTTGTATCTATTCTCAATTTTAGTGAGCAGTTAACCATAAAGTTGCTTAGTTTTCCTGCTGTTAGGTACAAGTAGATCGTTTCGAGTTGTGTGTGTACAGTATATAAGAACTAAACTTTTATGCCAATGACTCCTGTGGTTAGTTGGTGTATTCATAGGTATCAAACTGTAGCCATCTCCCTGGGTTACCGGGCTTGCTTGCTTTTTACACAGCAAAAAAGCAGTTGGTCAAGCAAGTCTGAATCACTCCTTCCTCAGAATGGATAGTGGTTTGGTTACAAGATTTCATTTTCCTTCAGAACAAATGTTTGAAGTTGGATATGAACAAGAGCTGCATCTCTAGTTATGTAGTTTATCACTAATACAGTATATTTAGAAAATTGAACGTGAAAAATAACAAACCCAGTGTGTACTCTTACCAGTATTTCTCTAGAAGGCAAGATCCTTTGTTATGGAAATGGCTTTTGGCGTTGTTTATTTTTCTTTTCTATTTACTTTCAAAAGCCACCATCAAACACTTAAGTGTTCCTCACTGTCTGATGTCTGTAGCATATAAAGACATTGATTTCCAAAAGTTCCTTTTCAGAGAAATGTTTTAGGGTTTGGGTTTAGTGTTTCAGCAGGGCCTTTAAAGAAGCGCAGATGGCTTTGGGATCTCGTCAGTGGAACGTGCTTAGGAGTTGATCCTAGAACCTTTGTACATTTAATAGTATTTCTAACTTTTTCTTTACTGTTTGCAGTTAATGTTCATGTTCTGCTATGCAATCATTTATATGCACGTTCCTTTAATTTTGTAGACTTTCCTGGATGTATAGTTTAAAAACAGCAAAAAGTCTATTTAAAAACTGTAGCAGTAGCGTGCAGCTCTAGCAGAGGAAAGTTGTGGGATTAAACTTTGTATTTCCTTTCTTATAGAGGCTTCTAAAAAGGTATTTTTATATGTTCTTTTTAACAAATATTGTGTACTACCTTTAAAACATCGATGTTTTGATCAAAATAACTAAAGACCCAGCTTATTTTCTGCTTGCTGTAAATTTAGCAAACATGCTGTAATAAAAAAATGAAGGAAATACTGATCCACTGGAATTATTGTAGCATTAGAATTTGACTCCAGAGCATGGTTAGGAATAGAGCTATGCATCCCTTATGGAGTAAAATCCTTACTATGGTATTTCAGTAAAGGCAGGAATTTTTCATTTAGTGTCTGAATAAATGTCACTTCACATTTTTGAAGGGGTACAAGACAAACTGAGAACACTAAGCATAAGTTGTACTCTAACATACTGAATTTTCTTTGCCATTAACTTTCATTATTGCTGGATGGACTTGCCCCATAGGTTATAATTCAGATATTACTAGCCAGGTTATGAAACTATTTAAAAGCAATGACTGAAGGTTCATAGAGAAACAAAATTACAGCATCACCATAACAGTTTATAATTGCCATAACCAAATTGGTGCCAGCAGTGGTTCTGTGGGAGGTGGCAACAGGGATGGAGCTGCCTCCTTCACTGCTGTGTGCCCAGCAGAAGGTTCTGCCCTGAAAGACAAAAATCCTCTGTAAAGCACAGAATTGCTTTCATAAACCCACTGCCACCCTTTATGAGTTGAGCTGTGATTATTTCTGCTTCTAGCAGCAGAAACCCCCACTCTTTTCAGCTTTATAGATTGATATAAATATAGTCTTCATGACTAACTGCTGCTTGAGAGGGGTCCTCGTGACTGAGTGGTGGGGAGAGCGTGGCTGTGTCTGCCAGGGGCCTGCAGGGATTGCTGTGCTTGGTGGTGGTGCTGGTCCAGCTGGAATTGGAGCTGGAAGGGTGGGAGGAGGGAGGAGAAATCTCCATGTCCAGGCAGAGTAACAGTAACTATTCCATAACTGTTGTGTCAGCATGTCCTTATATTGTGTGCCTCAGCATTTATGTATAGCACAGTTTAATTTTTGTTTTGAAAAGCCAGATCATTGCAAGTATAATGTAGTGTCTGCCAGTTCTGATGGTTCTTTCTTTCTCTCCCAGAGGTAGGACTAAACTTTGACTTGACTTGTGTATATGAACAAGCCAGAAAAGCCGAACACAAACCCACGATGTTTCAAGAGTGCATGAATAAAGATGTTGTCCTAGTTCTTGCTCCCATGGAAAAATTGTGAAGAAGCTGTTCTGTGGGCCTTTCAGTTGGGGACGAGTTAGCAGGATGTGGCCAAAAGGGCAGGGAATGTTTATGCATTCATGCAAATCAAGCCACAGCCCATCTAGATAACATCTCCCTTCCTTGATGCAGGTATCCCAGTCCTGCCCTAAAAAAAGCAGGAGCCTGTCTTGTGCAAGCTTCCTGCAGGTTATGCACAGCTGGAATGCAAGAACTTTGCAGGCTACAAAAGATCATGTCTAGATATCTTTCTTTTGGAGTCTCAAGAACGGTGGGAATTACGTTTTTCTGTGGTAAATCTAGATTTTGTCATTCCTGCAAAATTTGTAGAATTGAAGTAGTGTGTAAAAACAAAAAGAACCTCTGCTGAAATTAATGGCTGTGCTCCAAAATATCTGCAGCGAATCGATTGGTGTCAGCAGTCATAGAAGGCTCTATTGGAACTTCTTTTTCACCTAAAGTCCATGCACCCAACTGGTAATTAAAAATCTTCAATTTAGTGGTTAAGTAGCTGGGTGTTTAATTAGGGACTCTGATAGACTGGTCTCTGAAAGCTCAATGTTATCCTTTCTATGTCTTACCAAGATGTTTAATGTACAGTATCATGGTTTTACTCAAAGTGGAATCTCTTGGTTTTGATGTTGTTTGGAGCTCTCTGCTTGGACAGAGCTTTTTTTTCCTGCCTGCTGAGTCTGGTGCCAGCTGGAGGTGTGCTCAGAGAAGGGCAGTGCAGCCACACAGCTCTGCTGCTCGAGCCTTGCCAGGGACGGGGCAGACGAACATTCTCAACTACAAAGGGATAAAATTGACACATTTTTAGGCCATAATCGCCCATTAAGAATTGCTGGTTTTCTCCATTTATCTTGTAACTTGCTTAAAAAGTCTGTAGTCCATTGCTATAATATTTGTCTAAAGATGCTCTTGCTGCTGAGACTATTGTAGGAAGGGAAGACTCTGTACCCTGTAGTGTGTTTGATCGGAGATGCTGATGTTTTATTCACCCACATCCTTTCTTCTTGAGTTTTGTGTTCCATCTGTGCAAATAACCCTGTGAATTGGGAATAAAATGTACAAGTTTTGACTATAACTTGAGAGCACCTTCTGACTTAATTAATCCAGCTGTAGTGTGTGGGAGACGGAGCCCCAAGCTTTTGGTTTTGTCAGGAATGTTAATTAGTGTTAATTCTCCAGCCCTGTGTTCCCTAACCACTGGAAAAGCATGAAGGAGAAGGCTGCAGTTCAAAAAACCTCCCTTGAGAAGGAACTGCCAAAATGAGGTCATCCCACTTTTCCATTTCCATCTGAAAACAACGAGATGCTTTTAGGGGGTAAAAAAAAAAAAAAAGTTTATTTAAATGTTTTGTTTCCAATTTGTACAAACATCATCAGTAATTGACAATTTGAAGTGGAGAAGAGATAATTAACTGGGATACAGCTCAGACTCTGGTGAAGGTCCAGGTCACAACACAAGTTTAGAAATTGCCAATTCCGTGTGATTTGGAGCAATAATTTTGTAAACATTCAGCTCAGCTGCCACTGCATTGGAATGTACAGAAAGACACCTCCAAACATTTCACAATCTGCAAAAGGCCTGTTCAAATTAAAGCACTTTTTTTTTTTCAGTAATCCTTGTCTTTTGAAAGAACCCTGGCTGCTCCTGTTGTCACCCTGGAGCAGGATCAGCTGGAGGGGGCAGCACAGGAGCCACCTGCCCTGACCCTCTGCCCAGGGATTTTAGCAAAGACTGGGACAAAATGTTGTTTTACAGAGCACTGATGCATTTCAGAAACACAGAATGATTCCAGTCCCTCAGTTTTATCAAGCACCTGAACCCAGGCATTTGCAACAAAAAAAAAAAATCTAAATAAGCATTTTTTGCACTGATTTTACTTCCAAAAAATGAGATTAGAACCAAATACAATGTGCATATTCATTGCATGTGAAGTGCAAGGGCACAGCCACAAATGTCTTTTTTTTTGTTAATTTTTTTTTTTAAACAAAATATTTTTTTTAAACCAGGCCACGTACTCAACATGGTCATCTTACATTCAGCAGTTTTGTACTAAAAATACTTCTGTGCAGGAAAGCCCAGCAGAAATTTACATATGCTACAATGTTTTACATGTATTTACATGGCTCTGTCTTCCCTGTGAGAACATCTAACACCTGCTCCAAACTATTAATTGTTACAGGGGAACCAATTTAAGACCAAACTAAGGAACTACTCCACCTTTTTTTATAAAAACTGATACAAAAATGTGGTTTAGAACTGCTCAGTGCAGTGGGCACACGAAGCATTTGGGGGAGCTTTTTTGGCAGTCACCTGGCAATGCAAGATCTTTAGTTGGCACTCGTGGAGATTACTGGGAAGCACAGCTGGGTCTGCCCGAGGAGTTCTTCCACACCCTTCCAGAACATTCCAGATGGGAGTGTCGGGCTCCCACCACTGCAGGAGTGCCACTAAAGCTCACAGGGCAGGGAAGAGAAGCAGCTGTGCCTCCCCGTGTGCCCAGGTGGAGGTTTCTGCTCTGCAGAGTGTTTAGCAAATCTCACACCAGCCTGAAAAGCAGCAAATAACCTGACTAAAGTTTTCAGTGCGTTTTTGTTTTCAGTTCATGCTGCATTAAGTTAGGTAAAAGGTGGTTTTTCTAACAATTCAAAGCCACAATTCCAATTTTGGCACGCAGTCCCATTTCTTCTTAAATACAGTAAATGGTGACTGCTCAGGATTTGATTGATTTACAAGAAAATATCTATTTCACAGTGAGGTGAACACAGCACTGAACTTTTGAGGTAAAAGATGAGGGGAATGTAAACTTTCACCCCTCTCCAAGTGACTAACTACATGCAGCAAGAACACCTGGTCCTGGCACACCTGGAGTTTGGAATAGCAACGCTCAAATCTGAAACCCTGAAAATCACACAAGTTACACCTCAGGCCTGGACTTTCAGTAAGGTTTTGAGCTGAAATGTCATTATTTCCTTATCAGAAGGTTTAAAAGAAACAGGTACCCAGTGGCTTGGTGGCTTAGGCAGAACACTTGGGGAGGGTGGCTCGCTGAACTTGGCTCCAGCATAGTTCTGGTTGCTCTGAGGGGTGAACAACAGGTTGTGATTGGACAGAGCAGGATTCCAGTTGGGATTCTTGGGGAAGTGAACGTTGTTCTTCCCCCCTTTCTGCATGGCCTGCCATGCACCAGGAGAGGAGCTGCAGCCGTGGCCTCTTTCCTTCTTCACGTAGGTTTTCATCTGAGAATTGGGGTCTTTGCTCTTCTGCCTGTTTTTAAGTTGCTGATGGTTCTTGGTGGTGTTTCTAGACTGGGGAACGGGAATGTTGTATCTTTCTCCACCGCCCATCTTCAACTTAAATGTCACCTGTAAAAACAAAAGGAGTCAGGATAAGTCTTTATTACTCTTTTTTTTAAACAAAGTATTTCAGAGACTGTTCAGATTTCAGGCAAAGGGACAAAAATCAACGTGAACAAAACTCACTCTAAACATACCACTTCTGTCCTGAGAAAAGGTCTAACAGGAGGAATGGCACTGACAAAACCTTGCTCAGGAAATGCAGAGTCACATTTAATCCGTCAATATTATTGAGTGCTGGAGACATTTAAATTCAGCCTGTTAGCACCTAAAGATTGGGCAAAGTTTGCACTGATAAAGCCACTGCCCAAACTTCCTGGGTAAGTGTAAGAATTGCTCTGATAAACTCGAAATGAACTGAGAAGTGCCCCAAGTGGAGCAGATTTCATGCAATTCCCAAAGCCCATGCCCAGACTCCAGCACAACACTCAGCACTTCCCTGCTGACTCTCCTGCAATGTTTATTTCCCCTCTCCCACCTCCATTTACCTCTCAGTGGTCTTCTCCGATTCCACACTCTCCAACTCTTGTCCCCTTTCTTGCTTCCAAGCCTGAAAGAAGAGGTGCTGCCTTGTGCTGGACTCCTTCCTTTGGCTGGGAATAGAAGTTTTCATGGGCTGATCTGCTGTCTTCAGCCAGGGAGCCGAGCCCAACATCGGATTCTCGGCACAGAAGCTCCAAAGGAGAAGTCCTGCTGTAGAAACGAGAAAGAGATTTCAATTCAGATTATGGAAACAATTGTTTCACTTTGGGGTGGAAAGAAGGGCAAGCGGAAATAATTCTGCTGTGTCTGTTTATATGTTTAAGACAACAACGTGCTACAAACAAAACCCCACCCAAAAAGACACAGCTTTGTCTTTCTCTACTCACAAAGTTCACCACCATACTTAGCATATCCCAAGTAACATTTTGCTCATGCTTTGTCTTACAAAGCATTTTAACAATCAAGGACGTTATCCCTTTCGTTTCAGTAAGGAAAAAGTAAAGTACAATGGAAAATACTTTGGGAACTGCGACCAATACAGGAACTACCCACAGTACCCAAACCCTTCCCCAGCCATCACAGAGCTCCATTTCTCATCTATCAGCTGTTTCTTTACCCTTCGTTAGCCAAGTAATTCCTTAATAACTCTTACACTAATTTCCTGTTTTGCTCATGGCTTGTGTTTTCCTGCGATCTCAGATTTTAGCCGACGCACTCGAGTCCGTTCAGCTCCTGCCACTCTTCAGACTCAGCAGCCCCTGCCCATCCCTCCCAGAGCTCCAGAGGAGCCGCCCATCCCCACTTCCAGCTTCCGCCTTGTTTGGACTGAAACCAAAAGCCGAGATAGCGTCACCGGCCCCGGCCCTGCTGCCCTCTGCTCCCGCTGACCGGAGCTTCTTCGCCTCCGAACTTTCTCCCTTCTCTCAGTGACGCCTGAGGGCAGCCGGGCCCCTCCGTCCCCCTTCCCCAACAACGGAGCACAACATGGCGGCGGCCGCGCCCGGCCCTTCCCGCACCGCTCCGCCCTTACCGACTTCTGTCCGCTCCTCTCGCCCACAAGCACGGACACACACAGGGCGCTCCGGGAACCGACCCCGCGCTGCTCCGCCGTCACCGTTCGACCCCCGCCCCCAGAGCTCGCTCCGCTCCGCACCGCACTCTCCCTCACAAAATGGCGGCCGCGTCCTGCGCCGTTTAACACCCTCTCCCTCCTCCCCCCTCCGCGAGGCCGCGCGGCCGCAGCCAATGGGAGTGCGCCGCTCTCCCGCTCCGCCAATGGGAGCCAAGCCCCGCCTGTTGCCAGGCGGGCTCGGGGCAGAGCGGCCGCGCCGCGCGGGCGGGCGGGGCCGCCATTTGAATCCCCTCACGAAGGGCAGCGCGGGAGCGGTCGTCGTTCTTTGTCCCGCCCGGGCCGGCCCCGCCGCCGGGCACCGCCCGCGGGCCCCCCGGCCCCTCGCCACAACCCCCCGGACACGCTGCCAGCCCCACCCCGCCCGCGAATTAGCACAACAAACATCGTGGGGAACGCCCGCGCCAGCTGCCGCTGGGGGCTTCAAAGAGGTGAAATAATTAACAACAAAAAAAAAAGAGAAACGCACAAAACACCCGGCTGTGCGAGCGAGGGCCGTCGAGAGAAGGGATTCAGCGAACAAAGAGTAAAATCCACCCCCCGGAGATGGCCGCGGCGCTCTGATGCCAGGTGGACGCTCTCGGGTTTGTTGTACCCATTCCCCAGCCTGCATTTAGTTAAACTATTTGATGTTTAAATTTAAAGTATTGAAAGCGACGTAGAGGGATGTTTCAGGTTAAAAGACAGGGAAAGATATTCCCCAGGTTTAAAACAGCGCTGTGGGTATGCAGAGACCCCGGCAGTGGCTGCAGTTTGTGTTTATATTCACATTCTCTTGTTTCGCCTCAAAGGATCGTTTCGAAGAAAAAACCCACAAGATTTGGCCTTTGCCGTGTGTAGGATGATAAAAATTAGGTATACATAGGAAATTTGCACATGTGAGAGTGTTCCCTGCCCAGCACTGAGAGGCCAGTCTAGCACTGTACACCACATTAAAGGCTGAAAAAAGGAAGTTTCCAAGAAGATGGAAAAGAATGAGTTCAGTTCCAACCCCACCAAGTCAGGGCAGCACTTAAAAACAACAGATGAACATTCAGAGTTTTTATTTTGGAAGTAAAGACCCTGGTTTCATTGGGTGACCCTGCATTTTTAGTTACAGAAGAGAAAAATTCCTGCTTTATCCCTAAAACAAAGCTGTTTCCTCACTGACCTGGTGTTACAGGGCTGTGACCCAACCCAGGACAAGGTAAAGACTAAATAGAAGTTTGTATTCATCGTGCAGTTATTTAAAAAGCCAGCATATATTTTAATACACAAGATATGTTGACATACCCAAGCCCAGACCTTTGTTCCTATTCTTTATTTTATGCTAGCACTAAGCCAGCTGAAATTAATTTGTTTTCCTCCCTTTGCTTTGGATTTCTTGGCACAATGTAATGGCTGAGGTCCTTATAGCAGCTTTTTTTGTCTTTAGATGGAAGACAACAATATCTGCTGTAAGCCTGGAAATTCCACTCATTAATTAACAACTCTCCTACAATGCACATCAGCAGATTTTTGCTTTGTTTCTATCTCTAGTGTGTTTATTTCTGCTAAAACACCATCTCACCCCAGCGTGTGGATGTTCTCAAACCAGGACGTGTCAGTGGGATTAAGAAACAGCATTTTGCAGGCTGCAAATGTTCTGCTCTTGTCTGGGCAGCACAACAGCGTGTACTTTTCAGTTCAGAACAAGGATGACACAAGGTCTGGCTGTTTGTCCTTGCTATCTTTGAGATAATTAAAGAAACATCTTGTCTTTCAGAGCTGGTTTTGGGGTCAGGCTGACACATTCAGCCTGGGGGAGCAGGAAATGTCAGTGATAAGCCATTCCTGTATTTGTGCAGGAACTGTTCCACTGAAACAAATCGAGTCATTTGGAGGCCAAGCAGGAACACGAGGGTATTTTTGAAATCAAAGGGACAAATACCCCAAACACCACAAAGTCCAGCTTGCAGAGTTCTGTGCTTCACTCTTCAGCTGTTAGAACCCTGGCTGGTTTCCTCCCTGGAGTGGAAGGAGAGGAGATGCTTCCAGAGCTGTGGAAACCACAACAGACAGAAGCACTCGAGTTCCTGCTACATCCTAAAGACACAGCACAGACTGAATCCTGAGCTTCTGTCTCAATCCTTTATCATCACCACCCGAGATTCCTTCAACAGGAGCTACTTCACTCCTTCAAGTGCTGAGTTTTAAACCCTCTTCCTTTTCAAAGGTCTCCATGTGACATTTGTGACTCCTAAGCATGTGACACTACGACAGCCTCAGTTACTCATGGGCAGATTGGGATATTTTAGCTGCCTCCAGGATCGTGCTGTGCTCACCCTGATGTGCTGCAGCCCTGCAGGTGCCACAGACCCAGTTCCAGAGGCAGAGCCCTCCAACACAGTGCTCCCAAACCCACCCTGCTGTGCCACGTGGGCACACAGACTCGGTGACCTCCACTGCACCCTCTCATAACCTGTACACACAACAGGGACACGAGTTTTCTATTGTGCAAGTGTCTGCTCTGTCTGGATTATTCCACTTCCTCCAGGTACTCCAAAGATGACTGCAATAAATCCCAGCTTCCCTCATGTTCCCAGGCAGCTGTGTTACCCAGATCCTCCTCAGCTCCCCACCACGCTTCTGCTGCCACGGTGACAGCACCTCAAAGTTTTCCCCAGCCACCTTTATTTTTCACTCAGCACCTCCACTCCCTCTCAGAGCAAACATTAATCCAGCCCAGGGAAGCAGCTCCATCTGTGCTGGCACTGCCACAACCAGCAAGTCCCAGTGAAGACAAAGCCTCCAGAGCTTCATTAGCCCCAAATTAAGATGCTCCCAGCTGTGGCTGAGCTGGATCTCAGCACACACATGCTCCTGCCCGAGTGTTTCAGTGGAGCTGCTGAGCGTGGATGCTGCAGGAAGTCTGCAGCACGGATGACTCATTTGTTAAATCAATAGTGAACCATTGCCCCAGTTTTATTTCACAGTGACGAGTTTCCGGCAGTGGGTGACTTTCAGTAAACCCAAGATGTTTACTTTTTGTGGCTCCAAGAGCCCCGTGACACACTTGAAACTCGTTAGACGTTTCCACCTGAGCCAAACATTAACCAGATTGTTAATCTAAGTTTCCTCATGAGGGAAATGTGCGAGTTTGTGTTTTGTTTAAAATCTGCATGAAAGCACTGGGTGTACAGTAATGTTTAGAATATCCTTTATTCTGCCTGGCAGAGGACCCGTGTTCATTAAATAAAGCCCAGGATATTCACAGCAGTGAGCTACAGGAGCTGAGCAGACATGTGAACAGAGAAGTAAACAGAGAAGAGGCTCAAGAACCCAAACAATGTGATAAAACTACACATTTTTATCACTTAAATCTCCTTATAAGTATATTGATATAAGCTTTAGACATGAATTAAGTTGGTGTCCACCAGCACCTGAGTTAGATCAGCTCCAGAACACAAGTTCCCTCCTGTGCACTGCTGGAGCTCGTGAGTGTGAGATCACATGCAGCACTGCATGGTGCACTGGTGTGTGGGGATGTGCACAGCACCAGGAGTAAAACCACCCCAGACACCGACAGGGCACTTAGCCAAACCCCGAGCCTGGGGGGTTTAAAGGGCTTGTGCTGAAGCGGCTTCGTCACAGCTGACAGCTTTTCCCACTCTGGAAAACAAACACATCCAGGCACGACTGCCGAGTCACGCCCTGTTTTCTGCCTCAACAGCTCCCCGTTCGAACCCACACCGGCTCTGAGTCACAGAGCCCTGCAGGAACCTTCAGCCCATGTAAATCAATATACCTGGTTCACGTCCTAGCAGCAGGGAAAACAGTTTTACCTGAACCCTCCTCCCTCCACAAGAGCAGCAGAGAGGTGTTTGTGCCGCAGGCCAGGGCACAGGAGAATCCCTCAGCCAAGCCCTGTTTGCTCTCAGGAGCTGTGCTAGACACGGCAGTAAAGCTGGGGGTTTTTTCTCAGTATTTTCTCTATGAGTGCAGTAGAGTCACTCACCGTGGCTCTCTGAGTCACACCTTATCAAGGTGAGCAGTGCCTGACCCTCAGCCCCATCTGCACCACCCAGTTTTCAAATTCAGCCCCGCAAACACAACAGTCAGAGAAAAAGGACAGACACCCTTCCAGCAGGGGCTGGTGTCTGAGTGTCCCAGCACAGCCCCAGGGCTCTTCACTCTGCTCTGGAGGCAGAAACACCACTCCTGAGCAATACCAGGCTCACAGTCCCTTTCCCAAGCACCTGCACAGCATTGCTTCAACCCTGGGTATGGGGGTGTTCCCAAAGCAGAGTTATTCCAGCAAAAATCATTTACAGTACAGGCATCAGCTCTGATGGTTTTCCTTTAGTCTGGCAGGACAAATTTTGCTATAAATCAGAGTCAAATTAAAAGTTTCTGACTATGCTGCCATAATAATATTTCTTTCCTGTGACACAACAGTTCTCCCTGCAGACAGAGGAAACTTGTGTCTGTATTTCACAGGATGCTGCTGGATGTGAAGCTGTGTCAGAGCAGGGAATAATTTGGGGTTGGATGCTGCTGTTGGAACTCAGGACCAGCATAAAGAATCTTTCTGGTTTTCTCCTGCTCTTTACAATCTTGTACCTGCTCCTGAAAATTTCTCAGTTCCTGGAAACGGGCATGGAAGAATTATTTTTTGAGACAGAGCTGACAACCCATCATCTCCTGTCTTACACCACAGTGATGCCACCATCGTTGGTGGTTTCCAGTCCCCCTCCCAGCCCCGGAAGGGTCGGGCAGGTCCCTGCAGAGCCAGGGAATCCCCTTTTCCCGGCCGGGGGCCAGGAGGAAGCGCTGAGTTCCCAGTTCTGCCTCCTTCTCAAGCCTTCCCCGGGCGCTGTCCGGGCTTCCCTGGAGAGGGCAGCCGAGCACCGCTGAGCTCCGGCGGTGCTGCCGAGCCCCTGAGCCGCACACGCTGCCCCAGGGGAAGGAGGCAAAGCGGGATTTGGATTTAGAGAGGACGGGGTGTAACCGCTCGTGATGCCACCGAATGAGGGAACTGGGATTCCAGCAGGAGGGAAAGTTGAGTTCCCAGCTGGAGAACCGAGGTGCTGGTGCTGGGATGGGGCCGTGGGGTCGCCCTGTGGGTGGCAGAGCGAGGTAAGGAGCATCCAAGGGGTAAGGATCCCATCTTTGCTTCGCTTCCAAGGCTCCTCACTACAGCCTGTGTGGTTACATCCAGCTACAGTGTGGCCAGCTCCTTTGGGATTTGGGGCCAGCTTGCCTGTCCCCCCTGACGCGGTGATATTGTCCCTGGTATCACCCGGCAGGGAAAGCTGTCCCTGCTTTCCAGAGACACCAGCACAGCCCAGCCCCAGGCTGCTGCCCAGCCGAGGGGGAAGTGGTCACTGGAGGAAGGATGGACGGGAGCAGATACAGCAGCGACCACAGCCTCTGCACCCCTCTGACCACAGGGATTGTGTAGCTGAAGACCTGAAGGCATTTTCCTTCCACTTGAAGAGGGAAAATCACCTCGTTCCTCTGGCATGAGCGGACTGTGTACAGAGAAATTGAGGGGCACAGGTGAGATTTGTGTTGCTCGTGGAGCTGCAGGCAGACAGCAGATTTCTGAGCTTGCCCTTAGACCTGCACACAACCAGGTACATCCAGATTTTTTCACGTCTGCCTCCTTGCTTCTTTCCTCCCCATACTTTTCCGTGTTCCCAGAGAAATCAGGAGGAGAACCTGAATGTCTCTTGCCTCAAACTCTGCAGCTACATGGACAAATGAGAGGGACTGGGAGGACAATTTCAGCGAGCCAGAGGGTTTGGGTGGTTGTAGATGTGGCACGAGCAGGCAGCAGAACACAGCACCCAGAGGAGAAGGGAGGAAGGAAAAAAAACTCGACACACATTCTCCGAAAGAATGTGACAGAGAGCAAGGAAGCAGAGGAAGGATTCACACTGATGGATTTCCAACCCAGGGGAATAAACCAGAATGGTTCAGCAAACCCAGACGAAACCAGAAGTGCCGTGAGAGGAGAGGGAAGCGGGCGCTGTCCACAGCTGCAGCAGCTGCCCTGAGAGCCGGAGTGATGGGAAGCCCCAGAGCATCGGTGGGGAGGTGAGTGGTTTGTGTTTGCTGACCCACAGCATCCTGCAGCCCTGGGCCCTTTTTTCACACTGGAACACATCACCCCTGAGAGCCCTCGGCGCTGCCATGCACAGGGCAGGATGGGATGGAGATTCTCTGCTGAACGGGAGATTCCTGGGGTTCTCTGTAGCTCTTTGGGGTAAACTGCAAGGCAATGTGTAACAGAGGGTGGGAAACTGGTTTTTAGGATGGATCCTTTCTTAAGGAGAAGATGAAAGGTAAGTGCTTCGTAGCAGACTGTGGGTTAACTCTTTACAGCTGATTTTGGGAATTTTTAATGTTGGAACTGGAGTGACAGGACAAGGGGGATTGGTTTCCAAGAAATCCTTCCCTGTGAGGGTGGGGAGGCAGAGGGTGCCCAGAGCAGCTGTGGCTGCCCCTGGCAGTGCCCAAGGCCAGGTTGGATGGGGTTTGAAGCACCCTGGGACAGTGGAAGGATGGCACTGGATGGGCTTTAAGGTCCCTTCCAGCCCAAAGCATTCCCTGATTCTCTGTCAAAGGTATTTCCAGATGTCTCATGGGGATGTGATGCTGAGTTCAGTGTTTATGATGGTTTTGGTGCAGTGAGAGGAGCTCTGGTTTGCCCTGCTTTGTACCCAAACTGGCACTTGCAGCTGCTCTGCACCCACCCCATCCTGGGTTTCACTGTCCCCTCAGGCAGTCACACATGGGCAGAGCTGATAAATAATCAAATAATCTTCAGGGTGACATTTGAGGCAGACAGGTCTTACATCAGGGAGGAAATTCTACTCAGTGTCATTTAATGTGGTCAGGACTAACCAGGGTGAACAGCTAATTCCAAAATAATGGAAAAACTTCTGCAACTAAACCAGGAAATCACATATAAACTAAAATGTTTGTAAAGCAAAAGATACTTTTTGCTTGTTCAGCAAGTGAAATTTGCAAGCATTAGTGACAATTTTTTGCATAAATCACCACACTTGTTCGTAGTAGGTGATCATTTAAGACATTTTCTTATACTGCAAAGCTCAAAACTCTCAGATATTCTGAACATGAAATATTCAAGAGCAGCGCTTTCAGAGTGCTGCAGGCACAATGCACTGGCTGATTGCAGCAGGAAAATTTAATTTTACATTATCTAAGCGAGTGGTACGTAACTTTTTAATCAGCAGGATGCTGTGATGGCTCTGTGAAGGCAGGAGCCATCCCAAGTGGAGCAGGGATGGTGCTGCTGCTGCAGGGCACCGCCAGCCCGACAGCTGGAAGCAGTCACAGCGAGGAGCTGAGGAGGAAAAGGACTTCTTCATTTGTAAATTTAATTTCCCCCAAAGCCAGTTGGAGCTATTAGGCTGGAGTGAGCGGGCTCGAAGCAGATCTGATGGGAGGGGAGCTTTCACTTTGCAGTCACTGGGGCTGTATCAGGAATGTGTTGCATTCCCAAGTATCTTACCTGGGTTCTGTTCCTAATAACTCACTCCTCATTCATTCACTGTTGTTTGCTGGGGCTCTGCTCTTGTTGTTGGGGGGGTTCCCTATTGCAAGGACACGTTATTTTGGCAAAATATTCCCTACCCTGGGCCTTCCTGCTGGCAGGAGATGCTGTGCTGTGATCAGAGAGTTCATCCTGTGCAGAAGCTCAGGCTCAGCTGCTGCACTTCCAGGGAACCAGCCCCTGTGTGCCACAGCCCTGGCAGCTAAAGGAGGGCCAGAAGGCACTTGGCTCTTTCTTGTTGAGCTGAGCTGTCAGCCCGTGGGACTCCCTGGGCTTGCCAGGCTGGATGCACAGCCATGCCTGGGGCTGGAATTCCCCAGGAGGTGGAGATGCTGCTCTTGGAAAGGGGGTTTCCACCCTGGAGGTGGGATTTGCCCCATGGAGGATGCTGCAGGTCAGCTCTCCCCCAGGAACCACATATGGGCTGGCACTTTTCCCAGGAGCTAAGCCAGGCAGGGGGCAGAGGCCACGGTCATACAAATCTAGGGGCCCATCTGACAAGAGGAAAATGTCCCCTGGGCAGGAAAAAGCAGCTTTGTGGCCAAAAAAGCAAAAAAACAAGGGACAGGCAGTGCAAGGAGAGGAGCTCTTGGCACTGCCTGTGTTTTCACGCTCGTGCAGAGGAGACCTTTTGCTGGAGCTCTGTCCTTCCCTCATGGACACAGGAGCTGCAAGGAGGGTCTGGGGAGCAGAGATCTGTCCTTGTCATTCAGCCTGAGACAGAACAGGGAAAGGAAGATCAGGGCTGGCTGATTGCTGTGAGCCCAGTACAGACTTTGAACCTGAGGCTTATCTGAGTTTTTTCAGCTTAGTGGAGAGAGCTGGGCCAGGACAGGCAGCACAGGAGTTATTTTAACATTATAAGCAGGTTCTCTCCCCTAGCAGCATAACATCAGGGATGGCATTTTGCTGCCTTCACTCCCTTGCCTGGTGTTCAGTGGTTTCCAGGCTCCTAAGGATGTTAGTTGGATATTGCACAACTGCAGGTTTGAGGATTTATGATGGTCCTGGGAATGCTGGCTGCAGGTAATGGATGCCAAGGTGATGCTGGAAACTGCTTAATGAAGAAATGTCTTGGTTTGGATGCTGGAGTTTGGCTGGGGAGGTTTGGAAACTCGAGGCAGTTGGTCCCTGGTGAGCCCTGCTATATGAGAAGTCCATCTGTCTGCTAAATCCATCTCTCTCCAGAGGGAGGGATGTTGTCAGGTTTAATAACAGCAGCTGGTAATTCCTGCTGCCTGTGAGGTGTTCCTGGGAAGGGCTGCAGGAAACGAGAGCGCTGAGATCCGAGGGCAACATCCTGCCCCTGTGTTGTTACCCCATGCAAGAGCCTGATGTAAGAGGAGGGCAGCTTGCTGCAACACCCAGCCACACGTCAGCCCAAAGTCCAGGACTCCTCCAGCCTGGAACACCAAGAAATCCCAGTCAGGATTGCCCTGCTCTGCCTGAAACCTGCACTGAACTCCCTGCAGCCACTGCTGCCCCAGCCCTGACAGGCAGCACGAGTCAAATGTGGGGCTGGGGCTCTTCTCTGTCACCTCCTGGGCAGCCTCTCGAGTCATTTGGGGTATTTTGCAACTCCTGAAACACAGGAAGAGAGATGAGTGTTGGGGGAATCAGTGGGGAAGGAAGTCCCCAGGCCATTATAAACCCATGTTTGATAAACCCATCCCTGCTGAGATGTCACGCACAGAGGTTTGCTGGGCAGTGCTGGCTGTTGTCACCTCCAGCAGCAGCTGGATTTCACACAGCAGGCAGGGGAGCCACAGGTGGGGTGGCAGAGGTGGCTGGAACCCACAGCCCTGCCCCTGCTCTGTGGCTGTCACACATCCTGGCCGTGCCTCGTGTGTTTGGGACATTTCCTCTTTCACAAGAGAGCCCAGGGCAGCGAGGGACAGTGACTTGTTTGTTCTGGGGGAAAGGGAACGCTGTCAGCTCAGTGCTGTCCTCCAGCAGAGGGAACTCACGATCCCATTGCCTGCATGAGGGATCCTGGAATCTTTTGGGAAGCGGGGTCCTGTTCACTCCTGTGAATCCTGGAGGAGTATTAAGAGCTGGCTCAGGATTTGTACAATTTTCAGCGTTGCTGCTTCCCTCTTGTGGTGTATCACCGGGGTGGTACAGCCAGAGTGCCCCTGGGCTGTGGGAAATGGGTCTCAGCCCAACAACCAGTGGGACAAAACCTGGGGAAAGCATGGAACTTGGTTCCAGCATTTGGGCTGTGGACCTGAAAGCAGCTCTCTGTGGGCTGATTTCATTTTGCTTGCTTCCCTCTAAAGGGAGGGAAGTGTCTGGGGTGAATTCATTGCTTGTTAAGTCCTCTTCACCTCCACCTTTTTCAGAGCATCTGAAGAAGTGCAGAAGGAAGCAGAAGGCTCTCTGTGAGCTCCCAGCTCCAGGTAACCACCATGGATTCCTGCAGGATACCTGCAAACGCCTCCAAGTGCAGTGGGAACACCATGGAGTGCTTCATGGTGCTCAGCACGCAGGCACAGAAGATAAGCATTGGCATCCTGTGTGGCCTCTTTGGGACAATGTGTGTTTTTGAGAACTCCCTGGTGCTCTACCTGATTTTCTCATCCCCTGGGATCAGGAAGAAGCCTTCCTACCTCTTCATCGGCAGCCTGGCCCTGGCTGACATCCTGGCCAGCATCATCTTTGTCTGCAGCTTCGTGAACTTCCACGTGTTCAACGAGGTTGGATTCTCCAAGGAGGTGTTCCTGCTGCAGCTGGGAGGGGTTAACACGTCCTTCTCTGCCTCCCTCAGCAGCCTGCTGCTCACAGCCCTGGACCGCTACATCTCCATCAGCCGGCCCTCGGAGTACAAGCTCCTGATGACCAGGAAAAGAGCCTGGACAGCCCTGGCAGTGCTCTGGGTGACCTGTGCCACCATTGCTTGCCTGCCCCTGCTGGGCTGGAACTGCTGCGTGCTGGATTCCTCCTGCTCCGAGCTGTTCCCCTTTGTGGATGACAATTACCTGTCGGGCTGGCTCTGCTTCGTCGTGGTCCTGCTGGGCTGCATCGTCTACGCCTACGCCCACGTGCTCTGGAGGGCTCGCCAGCACGTGGCCTACATGGAGAAGCACCAGGCACAGGCAGGGAAGCAAAACACCCGGATGAGGATGGACGTGATGCTGGCCAAGACCCTGGTCATGGTGCTGGCTGTCCTGATGCTCTGCTGGTCCCCCGTGCTCGTGCTGATGATCTACAGCGTCTTCGGCAGGCTGAGCGACCGCCTGCGCAAGGTGTTCGCCTTCTGCAGCACCCTCTGCCTGCTCAACTCCATGGTCAACCCCATCATTTACGCCCTGCGCAGCAAGGAGCTCTTCTCCTCCCTGAGGAGGGTGTTCTCCCACTGCAGGAGGCAGCTGAAGGCCCCTGAGGAGAGCCCAGAAGCAGAGAGCACCCACAAGTCCTCCGTGATAGAGACCGTCTGCGAGGACACCCATACCATGTAGGGAGGCACCACTGGGAGATCCACCCACTCAGCCTGGAAGGAACAGTCTGGATCACTTTTCTTTTTATTTTCTCTTCTGATGGGAGTTGAGGGATCAGCTGTGATGTGGAGACAGCTCCTGCTGATGTCACCCTTCAACGCTGGGACATGAAGTGCACAGACTTTGCTCTCAGGCACAGGCTGGGATTGTTGGGATGTCCTGTGCAGGGCCAGGACTGGATGATCCTTGGGGTGTCCCTTCCAGCTCAGGATATTCCATGATTCTGTGATCATCTCCCACCAGGGGAGGTTCAGGTTGGACATCAGCAGGAATTTCTTCATGGAAAAGGTGGTCAGGCTTGGAAGGGCCTGCCCAGGGAGGTTTGGAGTCCCCATCTCTGGCACTCAGTGCTCTGGGCTGGTGACAAAGTGAGGACTGGGCACAGCTTGAACTCGATGGTCTGGAAGGGCTTTTCCAACCTCTCACTGGGGCTTCAGGACTTGGCCAGAGCTGGGGCAGACAGGACCTTGCAGGCAGCACATTTCTTCAGGCAGGTTTCAGGAGAACTGACCGAACCACACGGGTGTTTGTGGGATGTTATGTGATTAAACATACAAGCCATTTTCCAGGGTTTTCTTCCTCTTCTTTCCTGGTGTACAAAGTTCTCCAGGTGACAAGTTTAAGCCCAAACTGGGGCAGATACTTTGAGCATGAGGAACTTGATTGGGGTTGTTTTTCTGCAAATTACGCAAAAGCAGCACTTTTAGCTGAATGGACAATGAAGTGGGATAGGGCCCTTCACCAGTGACCTGGAGCAGCTGGGCTCCTGCCAGCTCCCAAAATGCCTCCAACAGGGATGAGCCTGGCTGGGACATGGCCACGAGGCCCTTGCACTCTGCCCTGTGTCCCAGAGGATGAACTGCCCAGGCTCCCCAGGGAATGGGCACAGCCCTGAGGCTGCCAGAGCTCCAGGAGTGTTTGGACACCACTCCAGGGATGCACAGGGTGGATGGTTTGGGTTGTCCCCAATGTCCCTCCATCCCTCCCCAGGATATTCCCCGGTGTCTCTCCATCCCTCCCTGGGACATTCCCCCATTATTGGGTTATCCCTGGTGTCCCTCCATTCCTCCCTGGGACATTCCCCAATTATAGGGCTATCCCCGATGCCCCTCCATCCCTTCCCTGGGATATTCCCCAGGATTGTTTGGGCTATCCCCGATGTTCCTCCATCCCTTCCCCGGGATATTCCCCGATGGTTGATGCTATCCCCGATGTCCCTCCATCCCTCCCCTGGGATATTCCCCGATGGTTGGGGCTATCCCCGATGTCCCTCCCTCCCTTCCCTGGGATATTCCCCGATGGTTGGGGCTATCCCCGATGTCCCTCCCTCCCTTCCCTGGGATATTCCCCGATGGTTGATGCTATCCCCGATGTCCCTCCATCCCTTCCCTGGGATATTCCCCGATGGTTGGGGCTATCCCCGATGTCCCTCCCTCCCTTCCCTGGGATATTCCCCGATGGTTGGGGCTATCCCCGATGTCCCTCCCTCCCTCCTCGGGATATTCCCCGATGGTTGATGCTATCCCCGATGTCCCTCCATCCCTCCCCGGGATATTCCCCGCCGTGCCCGCGGGCAGCGGTCGGGCGGCAGTCTCGAACCCGCGGCCCCGGGGAGCAGCGGCATGGGTGACGTCACGGGGCCATGGCGGCGCTGGCCCTGGTCGCTGTGGCGGCCGCGCTGGGCCCGGGCCTGGCCGAGCCCCGGTACCGCCCGGACTGGGCCAGCCTGGACGCGCGGCCGCTGCCGGCCTGGTTCGACCGGGCCAAGGTGGGGGTGTTCGTGCACTGGGGGGTGTTCTCCGTGCCGGCCTGGGGCTCCGAGTGGTTCTGGTGGCACTGGCAGGGCCAGCACGATGCCGCCTACGAGCGCTTCGTGCGCCGCCGCTTCCCGCCCGGCACCACCTACGCGGAGTTCGCGCCCCGTTTCACCGCCCACGACTTCCAGCCCCGGCAGTGGGCACGGCTCTTCCAGCGGGCCGGGGCCAGGTCAGCGCCGGGAGGGCCGGAGTTGGGGTCCCTGAGGGGATGAGTGCCATGGCCGGGGGGTCCCTGAGGGGATGGGAGGGTCCCTCAGGGGATGAGTGCCATGGCCAGGGGTCCCTGAGGGGATGGGGGTCCCTGAGGGGATGGGGGTCCCTGAGGGGATGGGGGTCCCTGAGGGGATGGGGGTCCCTGAGGGGATGGGGGTCCCTGAGGGGATGGGGGTCCCTGAGGGGATGAGTGCCATGGTTGGGGGTCCCTGAGGGGATGAATGGTGGGTCTGGGAGTCCCTGAGGGAATGGAGGAGCCGTTTCTGGGAATCTGTGAGGTAGTGAGAGCCCCTGGTCACTGAACACATAGAAGAGCATCCCAGAGGGAACAAGAGGGGGTCTGGGGGTCCCTGAGGGGATGGAAAAGCTTGGGAAGCATATGGAGCTGTTCCCAAGAGGATGCAGGGGTCTCTGAGGGGATGGGAGGGGCAAATCTGGGGATCCCTGAGGGATTGGGGGTCCCTGAACAGTGCTGGGCATCCCTGAGGGGTCATGCCCAGGATGCTGAGGAGATTGCAGGTCTTGCTCCTTGCTAAGTACTTACTGTTCATTCTTTCCCAGCATTAAAATCCACTAAAAGCCTCTCTTATTCTTGTATTTGCTTCTAAATCCAAGGGAGAGTGACAGAGGGCTCCTCACAGGGTGGTTATCCAGTGCCTTGCTGTTTTAGTGACTGACTTTGCAGTGGAGCTGGGAAATATCTCATTTGTTCCTTTGCCATCCCAACCAAGTCCTTTTCTCCCCTCAGATACGTGGTCCTGACCACCAAGCACCACGAGGGCTTCACCAACTGGGGGTCACCAGTGTCCTGGAACTGGAATTCTGTGGATACAGGGCCCCACCGGGACCTGGTGGGAGAGCTGGGAGAAGCCCTCAGGGAGAGGTACAGCCCTGCCAGGGAGCTCTGCTTTGAGAGCAGTGAATCCTCCTGGCTCTGCTTGACAAACAGCAGAAAACCCCGAGTTCAGTGTGAGAAATGGAGTGCTTGCAAATGATGAAAAATAATAAAGCCAGTAATTTAATTTCCACTGCTTCTTAATCCCCACTGAAGCCTAATTCTTCCCTCTGTGTTTTGTCCTTCAGCAACCTCCGTTATGGGCTGTATCACTCCCTGATGGAGTGGTTTAACCCTCTCTACCTTGCTGACAAACAAAGGGACTTCAAGACCCAGAGCTTTGTTTTAAAGAAGACCATGCCAGAACTTTATGACCTTGTCTTAAAGTAAGAGCCACAACCAGTTCAGAATCACCAGCATTTCCTGGTTTCAGTTCTGTAGAGAAAGCTGAAAAGTGGGTGCAAAGAAGAGAAATGTTGATTTTTGCCGAGGCAAATTCTCTTTTCTAAGCAGTAAGGATTTGTGGTAATTAGAAAAGGAGTTCACTTCTAACTCCAACTGTGGAAAGTCTAATCTGTAGAATAACCAGGGACAAATTTTTCCTGCAAAAGCAATTCTCTTCAATCCTGCCTTTGTGCAGGGTGGCTGGATGTGGAACAAACTGTTCAGTATTTAGTAGAATAGAAAAGTGATTTCACTGGGAATTTGCATCCTTTCCTTGCTTCCCCTTGCTGACAAAAATAAAAGGTTTGGGCTTGTGGGTTGTTGTCCCAGCTTAAGAATGTGCCTCATAATCACTTTTGAGGTGCCAAATTCTGAGTTTTCTGAAAGAACTGCACCCTCTCTTGAGCTGTGGATCAACACCTTTTTCTTTGCTGTTGCAACAACGTCCCTTAGAGCTTTGTGTGAAACAGAAAAGGAAGCAAAAACCTCCTGGTGATGCCAGGCAGTGGGAAGGGGAAGTGTAACGACCCCCTACCCAAGAAACACAGTGTGGCAGGAGCAGATAATCCATTTGGAAACAACATCTATCTCCCTTAGATACAAACCAGACCTGATCTGGTCGGATGGGGACTGGGAAGCTCCAGATTCCTACTGGAATTCCACCTCTTTCCTTGCCTGGCTCTACAACGACAGCCCCGTCAAGGTACCACTGCCTGCTGCCCCTCCTGGCATTGGGTGGGTGTGGAAGGGCAGGAAGCCCTGGGATGTGTGATCAAACAGAAACCTCCTTGACTTTTGGCAAATGTATTTTATTCCCTGACAAAAAGAGCACCTTGACTGTGCTGCTGTGCCAGCTCCACTGACCTTTGCAGGATACTCGGCTTTGTTGCCTCAGCTCCCACCTGAGTGAGCAGAGGGAGGGATTCAGCCTTCTCAGGAGGGTTTCCATTACACTGGGATTCTTTAGGTGCTTCCTCAGGGGGGTGGCTGCCAGCTGGACAGCCCAGGAACAAAAGGATCTGTGCCCTGAGCTGTTTTTCCTCTCTCAGGACACCGTGGTTGTCAACGATCGCTGGGGTCGGGGCTGCTCCTGCCGCCACGGGGGTTTCTACAACTGTGCTGACAAGTACAGGCCAGGCACCCTGCCAGAGCACAAGTGGGAGATGTGCTCCTCCCTGGACAGGCTCTCCTGGGGCTACCGCAGCAACATGAGCCTGGCTGAGGTGATGGATGAAATGAGTATGATTGAGGTGAGAAACCTGAAATGGAAATAGCCTGACGAGGGTTGCTGGGAGCGAGAGGCTTCTGGAGCAGCTGATGAGGGTAAAACTCCTCAGTTTCTGTGCTCTCTGAGGTGAAGATAATGTTATCTTGCTTTATCTGCTGCAGGAGATGGTGCAGACTGTGAGTTTGGGTGGCAACTACCTCCTCAATGTGGGACCTACAAAAGAAGGGGTGATTGTGCCCATCTTCCAAGAAAGACTCCTGGCCCTTGGGAGGTGGCTGGACACCAATGGGGAGGCGATTTATGAATCCCAGCCTTGGAGGGTGCAGATGGAGAACACCACAGACACAGTCTGGTAAGGGCTCTGCTGCTCAGACAGCTGATGTTTATTTCTTACCTTTTCCTAAAGTTGGAGTTGGGGGAAGTAGGTGACCCCTGTGTGGTGACAGAGGGCAAAGCAGTGTTCTTGTGCTGTCTGGAAAGGTCAGGTTTGTGTCTGGTGCCCTTCACCTGCTGAACTCCTGCTCTCTCAGGTACACCTCCAAGGGACCAGTGGTCTTTGCCATCTTCCTGCTCTGGCCTCTGGACAGTGTCCTGCATCTCTCCTCACCCATTCCATCCCCAGGCACACAGGTGAGGGGCTTAACACACACTGAGAGCATTTGGGGGCATTTGTGGGCTAGGAAGGGCCAGCCTGGATTTGTTTGGGAGGTTGTGTGCTGTGGGCTCCTTGCAGCACCCCAGGCTGTTCCCCAGGCTTTGGCTGACGTGGAACGTGGCACAGGAGCTGCCAGGGAGGATTCCTGTCCTGGAGTGTTTTGATGCTGCTGTTGCAGGGGAGGGAAGCAGGTCTCCCCAGAGCAGGAGTGGCTGTCCTGCAGCCCAGGTGCAGTGCCCTGCTCGTGGCAGATGTCACCGTGACGCAAATGTTGCAGTGTCCTTTGCTCTGAACAAACAGGGGCAAAGCATCAGCAACAAACAAACCCCAAACAACAAACTGCAGCCTGGTGTGGCCTCCAAACACCCCTGTGTCACCCCCTGTGCCACGTGAGCCATGGCTGGGGACCTGCAGGGGCTGTGGGCTGTGCACAGGGGGCCTGCTGAGCTCCAGCTGAGTGTCCCCTTCCTTCCTCTGCAGGTGACACTGCTGGGGTTTGGTGGCACTCTGGAGTGGCAGAACCAGCCAGGGAAAGGGATGCTCATAACCCTGCCCTACATGCTGCCATCTCCTCTCCCTCCTCAGTCTGGCTGGGTGGTGAAGCTCGAGGGTGTGAAGTGATGCCTGTGGGGGGACACAGCATCTCCCACTGCCTTTCTTTTTGATTGAACCCAAGAGGAATTTTATGTTTCATGTTGAATACATTATTTTTCACTTGAGAGAATCTCTCCTCCAGTCTCTGTTGCCTTGTGTTACTTCAGTGTTGGTTGGAGCAGTTGTGATCAGCTGCTTCCATGATGAATAAATCCAATGGAAGCTTGCTGGAAGAGATCTGGAAGAAATCATCTGTTAAAAAATGATGCAAATCCATGAACAAACTTTTATTGATATTCTTCTAGAGACAGCTACAACAAAAGGTTTTGTTCTCAGTGAATTTAAGAAACTCCACCATTGTGAACTGCACTTGTGACTTCTGCTGGCACCCCTGAACTTGTGACCTTGGAGTCCCGGTGAGAGCAGGTTTGAACGTCTCAGAAAGGGTCGAGCAATGTGAGTGTGGGTGATGAGGCTGCTCCAGACAGCGCAGGCTGTTGTGAAGGCACCACAGCGCTGCAGGCAGGCTGTGTTTTGTTCCTGCCCCAGCCAGGACACTGGGAGCCGAGCTCCAGCAGCGCCCCGGGGCAGGCCCACGTGCGGAGCCGCTGCCGAGGCGCTCGAGTGACGAACATCCAGAGAACCGGCCGCGAGTGCCAGAGCCGCTCACAGGAGCGCCGCCCGCTCCGCTGGTGACGCCCTTACAGACAAAAAAATGGGACAAACAGGGACAACAGAGCGATGGCCTCTTTGCCTCACAACCCCATCACGCCGGTGACCCCTGGCGCGGAGCGGGGCCCGCCCCAAAACAAACAGCTCCGTGTTTGCTCGGCGCACCGGGCAGCGCCGAAGCCGCCGCTATAAGTGCGCGGCGGGCGCGCCGCGGGGCAGTGCCGGAGGGAACGATGCCGCTCTGCGACACGGGCTGCGCGCCGCGGGACGGCGCCTGGGGCCAGGTACGGCACGGCTGCGGCCGGCGACAAGGGACAAGGGACACGGGGCACGGAGCGGCCGCGGCCGCAGCGCCGCGCGGTGCCGGTGCCACGTGCGGAGCGCTCACGTGGCCAGCGGAGCCACGCCCCCCGCCCGGCGGAGTCACGTGCAGGGGGTGTGTGCGGTCACGTGAGCGCGGCGGACATGGCGGCGGCGCGGCGGCTGCTGCCGCGCTGGGCGGGATCGCTGCGGCCCGTGAGGGATCGGGGGGATCGGAACTGGGGACAGAGGGACGGAGGGGATTGGAATTGGGGACACAGGGAACGGGGGGATCGGGACCGGGACAGAGGGACTGGGGCACAGGAACCGGGGGGATCGGGACCGGGACAGAGGGACCGGGAGGATCGGGACCGGGGACAGAGGGACCGGGGGGATCAGAACTGGGGACAGGGACCGGGGGGGATCGGGACCGGGACACAGGGACCGGGGGGATCAGAACTGGGGACACAGGGACCGGGAGGATCGGGACCGGGACAGAGGGACCGGGACAAAGGGACTGGGGGGCACCGGGACAGAGCCAAGCAGGGCCAGGGTGGGGGGATCGGTACCGGAGGCAGAGGGACCGGGGGGCACCGGGACGGAGCCAAACGGGGCCGGGGTGCGGGTACCGGGACCGGGCCAAGCGGGGCTGTGGCTGGGGCACAGCGGGCCGGGCTCCGGGGCTCGGCTGACTCTGCTCCCCGTGCCAGGTGAGCTCCGCTGCGGCGGCGGGCGGGGCGTACCCGAAGCGAGTGAAGGTGGTGGAGGTGGGACCCCGCGACGGGCTCCAGAACGAGAAGGTAGCGGCGGGTCCGGGCTCCCCGCCCCTCCCGGGGCCGTTCTCAGCCAAATCCCCTCAGCACCCCCCAGTGGGGCGGCTTTTCTTTAAATGCTGCTTTTTTTTTTTTTTTTTTCAGTGGTGGAAGAGTTTATTGTGTAAATAATAACAACTTTAAGTCGTTTTTCTTTTCTTCTTCTTCTTAGAATCTTGTGCCCACCTCAGTGAAGATCAATTTAATCAACATGCTGTCAGAGACAGGGCTGCAGGTCATAGAGGCCACCAGCTTCGTGTCCCCCAAGTGGGTTCCTCAGGTCAGTGTTCAGACAGGATTTGCAGTGGTGTGCTCTAAAAGTACAATGATCCAGTGGTTCTGCTTGCTCCCAAATCCCTGTTACTGGGCAAGAAGCAGCAGAGCAGTTAAAATATCCCAGAGCTCCCTTTGGACCCTGGCAAGAGCAGAGGGACAGACAGGTCACACACAAAGCTGTTTGTGCACATTGGCCTGGCTGGGTGCCCCCTGAGCCCTCAGCCTGCAGCTCTGTTTGCTTTGAGATGCTCTGATCCCCACACATTTCTGTTCCCTTTACAAAAAGGAGTTTCAGTGATGATTTTGTGACAGGCAGCTGTGACCCTCAGAGATGTTTCTTTGCTTTGCAGATGGCTGATCACACCGAGGTCCTGCAGGGCATCAACAAATCCCCTGGCATCAGTTACCCTGTGCTGACTCCAAACCTCAGGGGCTTCCAGGCAGCGGTAAGGGCTGGGGAAAGCCAGCATCCCCCCACACTGGGCCTTTGCAGCCCCACCTGCTCCTTTGCTCCTCTGCCTTCACCCTTTTCAAGGCAAGCTCACATGTGTCCTGCTGGTTTTGCTGCAGAGTGAGCTGAGGGAAGGGTTGGGTTCTTCGGGGGGAAATGGTTTTATCAAATGAGAGAGCTGTGGTCAGAGATTGTAGATCACAGAGACTTTGAGGTGCAGAAGAGCTCCAAGATCTTCCAGTCTGAATAAACAGGGCAGATTTGTTTGGGAACAGAGAGCTTCTGTAAAGGGAGGTGTTTATGGGGCTGGTTTGAGACACCTCTACCAAGAGATGCCTCTGAAACCCTTGAATTAACTCTTGGCCATGAAATCATGAAGTTGTGGCTCTGTTTGGCATTTCCCTCACAAGAAAAAAATCCCCTGGCTTTGATTTAAGAAGTTCTGGGGTAACTCAGGGCTCTTTTCCAGCCTCAGTGGTGCTGTGGTTCCAGTTCAGGATTTTTTATTTGCAGGTGGCAGCAGGAGCCAAAGAGGTGTCGATCTTTGGGGCTGCATCTGAGCTGTTCACCCAGAAAAACATCAACTGCTCCATCGAGGAGAGCCTGGACAGGTTTGAAGAGGTCATGAGGGCAGCGAGGGAAGCCAGCATTCCTGTCAGGGGGTAAGGCCTTCCTGCTGGGATTCACCCACATTCACTCTGGAATCGTCCAGAATCAGTTGGGGTCAGATTTTCTTGGCAAACATCCCAGATGGATCAGCACAGATCACACCCCCAGCAGCCCTCTGGGCTCATCTTGGCAAACTTTACACCCATGGAAGAAGAGATTGGTGAAATCCTGTGACCTTTGGCCACTGGAATATGAAATTGATTCTCCCACCTTGCAGACATGGAAGATGCACAAGTCCTGGCTGGTTTGTCCAGTGGAATCCCACTGCCCTTTTCCAGCTAAAAGTTTGTTGTTTTTTTTTTTTTTAACCACAGGTATGTTTCCTGTGTCCTTGGATGTCCCTATGAAGGGAAGATTTCTGCAGCTAAAGTTGCAGAGGTGAGTCAGAAATACAGCCAGAATTCCTGATTTATTTTGAGGGATGCAAAGTGGGCACTGGGGGTTATCCAGGATATAAGGGGGATTTATGAGGGAATATCCAGGTTCTCAGAGGCTGAATCCAGCTGAAACAGGGAACTGAGGGAGGTTTGGACACCTGTGGGTTTTTAATTGTGGAGAGGAGTGTCCAGAGAGGTGTTAATAATTCCCCAAGAGGGAATTATTGTACAGCAGGAATCAGCTCTGGGAGGGAAGGAGGAGTGTCCAGGGGAGCTGGAATCAGCTCTGGGAGGGAAGGAGGAGTGTCCAGAGGATTGTGGTGCAGCTCTGGGAGGGAAGGAGGAGTGTCCAGGGTATTGAGGTAGAGCAGGACTCAGCTCTGGGAGGGAAGGAATGTCCAGGGGATTGTGGTGCAGCTCTGGGAGGGAAGGAGGAATGTCCAGGGGATTGTGGTGCAGCTCTGGGAGGGAAGGAATGCCCAGGGGATTGTACAGCAGGAATCAGCCCTGGGAGGGAAGGAGCAGTGCCCAGGGGATTGTGGTGCAGCAGGAATCAGCCCTGGAGGGAAGGAATGTCCAGGGGATCGTGGTGCAGCAGGGATCAGCCCTGGGAGGGAAGGAGTGTCCAGGGGATCGTGGTGCAGCAGGGATCAGCCCTGGGAGGGAGGATGCCCTCTCAGTGCCCGTGCTGGCTGTGCCCAGGTCTCCAAGAAGATGTACTCCATGGGGTGCTACGAGATCTCGCTGGGGGACACCATCGGCGTGGGCACCCCGGGCAGCATGAGGGAGATGCTGGCAGTGGTCATGAAGGAGGTGCCCGTGGGGGCTCTGGCTGTGCACTGCCACGACACCTACGGACAGGCCCTGGCCAACATCCTGGTGGCCCTGCAGGTGGGGTCCCTGCTCTGCACACTGCTCCTGGCACTCACACACACCCTGAAGCCCACCTTGTCCCACCCCCTGGCCAGCTGCCACTGCCCCAGGCTGCTCCCAGCCCCATCCAGCCTGGCCTGGGGCACTGCCAGGGGCACACAAATGGAGCAGCTTTCCTCGGGGCTTGCTTGGGAATTGCAGATTTTGTGTTCCCAGGGCAGCCCCTGACTCGGGTCTGTTTGCAGATGGGGGTGAGCGTGGTGGACGCCTCCGTGGCTGGCCTTGGGGGGTGTCCCTATGCCCAGGGAGCCTCTGGGAACGTGGCCACAGAGGACTTGGTGTACATGCTCAACGGGCTGGGCATCCACACGGTGAGTGGCACCAGGCTCTGCCCAGGCCTCAGCTCAGGAGCCTGAGCGTGGTGGGGACAGGACAGGGGGAATGGCTGCCCTGTGAGAGGGGATATCAGGGAAAAACATTCCCTGGGAGGGTGGGCAGGCCCTGGCATGGGTGCCCAGAGCAGCTGTGGCTCTCCCTGGAGTGCCCAAGGCCAGGATGGACGGGTGTGGGGCACCTGGGATGGTGGGAGATGTTCCTCAAGGCATGTCCTGGGATGGTGGGGAGATGTTCCTCAAGGCATGTCCTGGGATGGTGGGAGATGTTCCTCAAGGCATGTCCTGGGATGGTTGGAGGTGTTCCTCAAGGCATGTCCTGGGATGGTTGGAGATGTTCCTCAAGGCATGTCCTGGGCCTTTCCCGTGCAGGGGGTGGATCTCCAGAAGCTGATGGACACAGGCACCTTCATCTGCAATGCCCTGAACAGAAAAACCAATTCCAAGGTGTCTCAGGCCTCCTGCAGACTGTGACACTGAGTGGGATTTCTCCTTGGAGCAAGAAATGGAGGATCCAGCCCTGGCTGGGATTCCTGTCTGACTTCCTGAGCTCAGCATTTGAGAGGAAGCTCAAAATCCACCAGAATCAGGAAGAAGTGAGAGAATATCCTGTGATACTTTGTTCTGTTGGACCTTGGGGCTGCCCCCGTGTGCCTTGGAGGGGCGGGGAGGGGCAGAGGAGAGCTCAGAGCAGAGCAGCAGCTCCTGCCTGCAGAGCCCAGGGCGAGCACAGCTTTAGCAGCTGGAGCCTGCCTGCAGCTCTGCCTGTCCCTCCCTCCCTCTCTGCCCTCCACAAACAGCCAAAGGCTGAGCCCAAACCCCCCTGGTGCTCCCCTGGGATCCCTCAGGGCCGTGCTGCTGCACTGGGTATCTGTTGTAAGATACCTCAGCACACCAGGAGTAATAAACACATTATTTAATAATCTGAACTGTGAAGAATTTGATTCAGCTGAACCAACGAAGGAGCTTTTGGTGCTGGTTTGGTTCCAAGTGCCTCTTGTACGTGGAAATTCTGCATTATTGTGGGCTGGGGGTGAGGAATTCCACGCTGAGGGCAGAGAGTGTGAAACTCCTCGGGTGCTCAGGTCCTTGGGAAGCGCCCCCAGCTCTTCTTTTTCAAGTAATTCATTGAGCAGTTTAGCTGTGAGACTGGAGAGGAGCACGGGAGGCTGCGTGTGCCTGCTCTCCGCATGACTTCAATAACCTGTAACAATTACCAAACCTAATGAACGCCACGGAAATGAGGCGGAATGGGGCAGTAAATTGGGCTTTTGGGGCGATAATTCGGGGTTTTGGGGCGATAATTCGGGGTTTTGGGGCGGTAATTTGGGAGTTTTGGGGCAACGGTCTCCTCCCGCCGCCAGGGGGCGCTGTGGCACCGGGCTCCCCGCGGTGGCCCCGCCCCCTCCCGCGCGCACCAATGGCGGCCGTCCCTCGCGGAGTTTTGTCCCCGCTGCCGCCCCGTAGCCCTGACACGTTTCCATGGAGGAGCGGCGCGCGTGGCGCCGGGGGGGGCGGAGCCAAGGCCCGGCCTTAAAAGGGCCGCGCCCCTCACGGGGCTGAGCGGGAGCGGCGGCAGCGGCGGGTGAGAGACCGGGGAACCGGGGGGGAACGGGCAGGGGGACGGCTGTGCTGCCCTGCCCTGCTTCCTTCGGCACGGGCAGCCCGAGCCCCCGCGGCTGGCGGTACCCGGCGCTCTGGAGTCATTCCGGTGCCCGGCTGCGTTCCGCCGCTCGGCCCCGGGACCCCTCCGCTCGCTGCCGGGCCTGTCCCCGCTCCCCGGCTGGAACCCGCGCTGGTTCTGCCTTCCCCGCCCTCTCCCCCCGGGCCCAGGCGCTGTTTCCCCCAGCCCCGGGAGGGCAGTGTCCCGGTTCGGCTCCTCCCGGGCCGGGGTCCCGCGGGTGCCGTGCCTGCCCAAAGCCCTTCCTGCGGAGGGGCCGGCCCGGGAGGGAACGGCTGCAGGGCAGAGCTGGTGCCCTGCAGAGACCGCCCCGGTTAATTAATTAATTAATTAGCTAATTAACAGTGAGAACTGCTGCCCTGAGGGGCACAGGTGAGCCCAGGGCTGGGTTCACCAGGAAGAGCCCGGGCTCCGGGATGTGCCACCTCCGTGTCCGGGAGGTGTGACCGGCCCTGCCCCGCCCGTCCCTCGGGCAGGACCGAGCCGAGCCGTGCCCAACCGAGCCGTGCCGGGTCGTGCCGTGCCCAACCAAGCCATCTGGCGCTGTCCCCGCAGGGAGCCATGGCAGAGACCATCCTGGTGACGGGCGGCGCCGGCTACATCGGCAGCCACTGCGTGCTGGAGCTGCTGCAGGCGGGCTACGTCCCCGTGGTCATCGACAACTTCCACAACGCCATCCGAGGTACGGGAGCCCCGGCCCGGCTCCATCCCGCGCTGGGCTCGGCTCCAGCGCCCCTCACTCCCCTCCATCCCCAGGCTCCGAGGCGCTCCCCGAGAGCCTCCGGCGGGTGCAGGAGATCGCGCACCGGCCCGTGATCTTCCAGGAGCTCGACATCACGGACGAGGCGGCGCTCCAGGAGCTCTTCAGGAAGGTGAGAGCGGGAGCGGCCGTGCCCGGGGTGGCTCCCGGGGTCCTGGCAGGGGTGGGAGCCTCGGGAGCAAACGCAGTGCCCGCTCCTGTGGGGATCCTGGCTGCTGCCCGCTGCCGTGGCTCTGAGCCCAGCCCGTTCCCCCTGCAGCACCGTTTCTCGGCCGTGATGCACTTTGCGGGGCTCAAGGCCGTGGGGGAGTCGGTGCAGAAGCCTCTGGAATATTACAGAGTGAACCTCACCGGGACCATCCGGCTGCTGGAGGTGAGAGGGGCCGGCAGTGATCCCGGGCTGCTCCCTCTGCCCTCCCCGTGCCCAGGCCCTGCCGGCGCCCGTGCAGGGCTGGCACAGGGCACGGAGCTGCAGCAGCGCTGCCCGTTGCCCCTCGCAGACCATGAAGGCCCACGGCGTGAGGAACATCGTGTTCAGCAGCTCCGCCACCGTCTACGGGGACCCCAAGTACCTCCCCCTGGACGAGAAGCACCCGGTCGGGGGCTGCACCAACCCCTACGGCAAATCCAAGTTCTTCATCGAGGAGATGATCCGGGATCTCTGCAGAGCAGAGAGGGTGAGGAGCTGCCCTGTGGGGCTGCAGCCCGGCTGTGACCCCACACCGGGTGTGTCCCCACGGGGGTGACCCGTCCGTGTGTCCCCAGGACTGGAACGCCGTCCTGCTGCGCTACTTCAACCCCATCGGCGCCCACGAGTCGGGGATGATCGGGGAGGACCCTCAGGGCATCCCCAACAACCTCATGCCCTATGTGGCTCAGGTAGGGCCCCCACAGCCCTTGGGGGTCACAGGGAGGGGACGCAGGCGCTGGGGCTCCACGGGGCTGTCCCTCTGTGCAGGTGGCAGTGGGACGCCGCGAGTTCCTGAGCGTCTTTGGGAATGACTACAAGACGGACGATGGAACGGGTGCGTCACGGGACGGGGGGATTTGGGATGGGGGAATTTGGGATTCCCAGACCCTGCCCTCACCCTCTGCGTCCCCACAGGAGTCAGGGATTACATCCACGTCGTGGACCTGGCCAAGGGCCACATCGCTGCTCTGAAGAAGCTCAAGGAGAACTGTGGCTGCAAGGTACCAGCCTTGGGGTGCTGCCAGCCCTGGGGGGACATGGGGGTGCCAATGGGGCCTGAAGTAGAGCCTTTCTCCCCTTGATCCCTGTCCTTTATTCTGCTCCCAGATCTACAACCTGGGCACAGGCACCGGCTACTCCGTGCTGCAGATGGTCCGGGCCATGGAGAAAGCCTCGGGGAGGGAGGTAAGGGCAGAGCTGCAGGCTCACAGGCACAGGGCAGCACTGCCCCCACAGGGCCCTGCTCCCCCCCAGCAGCCCTGGCCCCGTTTCCTCAACCCCCCCGGAGCCCCCCAGCCCTCGGTGCTGCTCTCCCTGCAGATCAAGTACCGGATCACGGCCCGGCGGGAGGGGGACGTGGCCTCCTGCTACGCTGACCCCACGCTGGCCGAGCGGGAGCTGGGCTGGAAGGCTGCCTTTGGCCTGGACAAGATGTGTAAGGGCATCCCCTCCCTGGCACGGTGGGCACTGCCAACCCCCTGCCCTCCCTCACCTCCCCTCTCCTGTTCCAGGTGAGGACCTGTGGCGGTGGCAGCTGCAGAACCCCACGGGCTTCAGCAAGAACTGAGCTGTGCCGAGGGCTGGCCGGGCCCAAGGCTGCTCTGAGCCAGCTCTGCCTCCTTCCCCGAGGGCTGTCACCATCCTGGGAGGGCACTTCCAGCTCCCCCTCCTGCCTCTGGCACGGGGCAGGAAGGCTGGAGCATCCTCAGCCTCTCCCCTCCTCATCCTCATCCCCCAGGTCTTTTCATCTCACAGAGCAGAACCACAATGAACAGAGAACAGAGCCAGGGCCTGGTTTGGCACCACGGGCGTGGAACGCCCCTGGGAATGCCCAGGGGCTGCAGCCAGCCCTGGCTGGGAGCTCCTGAGCCCTCCCTGTGCCCTGGGCATCCAGCACTGGGACAGCTGAGCCCAACCTGCAGCAGAGCCCCTGTTCCCTCCTGGCACAGGGGGACCCCAAGGCACCTCTGCCCCTCCCCTGGCACCAGGAACCTCCCACAGGGACCAGTCACATTCCAAGGCTTCCTCCAACCCCCCTTTTCTCTACCCCCAGCATGGTTTTGGGGACCAAATCTCATCTCCCCCTCTCCTGCTGAGCTGGAGAAGCCCCTGCCCAGGGCTGTGCCAGCCTGGCCTGGCTGCCCACAGCCCCCTGGGTGCCTGCTCTGGCCTCCTGTGGCAGCCACTCCCCAGAGCCCGTTGCCAAAGGCTGCCCAGGAGCCAGCTCTGCCCCGTCCCACACTGCTTCTATTTATTCCTGGCAGCTCCCAGGGCAGGGATGACGCAGCCAGCCCCGTGTGCTGTCGGCTGGATGAATAACTTATGCTCCTAAATTATGAATGGAGCTTTTGATTTGTTTTTAAAATAAACTTTCCTACTTTCTAAGTGGCAGCTTTGTTCTGCTTCCCCTCAGCCAGAGCTGCTGCCCCTAAAAATGGCACCTGGGGCCTCATGGAACCCCATTCCCCCCAAATCTGTGGTCCTGCCTGGCCAGGGATGACGCCAGCTCAGCTCCGGGATAAATTGAGGATTTATTTCACCTTGATTCTCTGTGGAACGCACGCACACACACACAAAAAAACCCAAACATGTACAAGGAAGACGAGAAGAAAAACAACAACAAAAAAATAAAAAAAAAACCAAAAAAAGAAAAAAAAAAACCCAGAAAGAAAAAACCCAAAGCTGTACTGAGGAATGGAGAGAAGCCGTTCTCCCTCCCGGGGTCCCGGCACTGCTCGGGCAGGGAGTGAGCAGGAATGCTCTGCAGAGGGATGGTCCCAGGCCCCCCACCACACACGGTTCCAGTTCACAGTCACACAGGTCAGTCTGTCCATCACCAGCCCTTGGTGCCCCCAGGGAGCTGCCATCCCACCCCTGCCAGCCCCTGGTGTCCCCAGGGAGCTGCCATCCCACCCCTGCCACCCTCTCATGCCCCCCAGCCAGGCGAGGGGGCCGGGGGCACAGCAGCATTAAAACACAGTATAGACGAGCCAGCAGGGCAGAGCCCAGGGCAGGGCTGAGCCCAGGGCAGGGCTGGGCTGCCCCAGTGCCAGCAGCAGCTCTGCTGCTTTCAGACTTCCTAAAAGGAGCAAGAACAAAAAGCCCAAGCCAAGACCCCAGGCAGGGTGGGCCCCACGATGCACTCTCCAGAGGGAGGTTATTGCTTTGCACAGCCCGGGCAGGAAGGGCAAGGCTGGAGCAGAACTGCCGGGGCTGAGCCCCCCCAGAGCCCCCCAGGGCAGCCCTCCCCTCCCTGGCACAGGGCAGAGGCTCCCTGGGGCAGGGCAGGGGGAGCAGGGCCAGCCCTGGGGCCAGGGGAATGTGGGGGTGTTTTAAAAGCCATGATCAGCCCTGGTTGGGGGCTCAGCCCGGGGAGAGAGGGGGTGAGGGCAGAGCTGCTCCACAGCCACTGCCCCAGGCCCTGTGGGAGGGGAGGGTCAGCCAGGAGCCCCCCCAGAGGAGACATTCGGGGCCCCAGCACGATGCCAGCAGTCGGGAGGGGACAAGCCACAAGTGATTGTACATGGGGAGGCAGGAGCCCCCAGTCCTGGGGGCACAGAGGATGGGGCACAGCAGCCCCCGGGGCTCAGATGATGGCTGGGAGCAAAGCTGCTCCTTCCAGCTGCACCAGGAGCCAAACCCGGGGTGCAGGGACCTCCCCCTCCCCAGGCAGCCCAAGGCCAAAGGGAAGGACAAGTAGCAGCAAGAGAAGACATTGAAGACGGGGCCGGTGGCTCCGTGAGTGTAAACGAAGCTTTGGGGCTCCGAGGGTGCAGAGCTGAGCTGGGAGGGGGGAGATGCCTCTGGGATGGAGATTGTAAAAGCAACAAGAGGAGGAGGAGGAGGAGCAGGAGGAAGGAGGTGATTATCTCAGGAGGGCAGAGCTGCCCCAGGCCGATGGCTGAGGGGAGTGTGCGTGTGTGACAGGCGGGGCCGTGCGGGAGGTGCGGGAGCTGCACTGACCCTCCCTGCCGGCCCCGGGCAGCCTTTGGCGGTGCCAGCCCAGGGCAGAGCCTGCCCCGGGGCCTGGGGGCGTCCGCAGGGGAGTCCCGGGTTCCTGAGCTCTGACTGAAAACCCGCGAGTCGCCTGAGCAGAGGCCGAGAGCCGCCACCGAGGGCAAAGCTCCGAGCCCCAGGGGTGCCCCAGCCCCGCCGCAGCCGGGCACGTCCCGCCCCTAATACTGGTACAAAAACCCCAAACCCGAGAGGAAAACCTCACCCGCGCCGTGCCAGCCCCGCGGGGACCCGAGGGGACGGTGACCTTCCCCCGGGAACCGCTCGGAGCCAGCGCAGGAGAGAAAAGGCCACTCCCAGACTCGCCTTAGGCAGCTCCGATGCGGGAGCGGCGGGAGAGCCGGAGGGGGCGCGGTGCGAGGACGCGGGCACGGGTGGGGGTGGCGGGAGGTGCGCTGGGGGGGCCATGGCTTCCGTTCGCAGCTGGCGGGTCACAGGGACAGGCGGTGACCTCGGCACCCTCCCCTGCGACAGTCCCGAGGGGCTCGGCTCAGATCCGGGGCAGCAGCTTCTCGATGAACTCCTTCACCGCCATCATCTCCTGCGGGCAGCGCACGGCCCGTCACACCGGGGCTGCCCCGGGGCCGGGCTGTGCCCCGGGAACGGCCCGGGGCTCTGCACCTCCCCCGGGGCCGGGCTGTGCCCTGGGAATGGGGCTCGAGGCTCTGCACCTTCCCAGAGGTCGGGATGGGGCACAAGGGCTCTGCAGCCTCTCAGAGCAAGTCAGGAACAAACAGACCTCATGTGTTCCCCACCCTGCCTGGGATCAAAAGATCCCAAAGGGAAGGGACCCACAAGGATCATCCAGCCCTGCCCAGACCCCTCAACATTCCCACCCTGAGCACCCCTGTTCAAACACTCCTGGAGCTCTGGCAGCCTCGCAGCTGTGCCCATTCTTTGGGAGCCTGGGCACTGCCCAGCACCCTCTGGGGAAGAACCTTTCCCTGAGCTCCATCCCAGCCCTCCCCTGACACAGCTCCAGGCCATTCCCACGGGCCCATCACTGATCACCACCCAGGGGGTGCCACCCCCTCCCTCCACACCCAGCACTGACCTGAGGACAGGAACCGTGCATCACTCCAGGGTAGGTTTTGAACTGCACCTTGGTGGGGGTGACCACAGACTTGAGCTTCTCGGCAGTGAGGGCCCCGAAGCGCACGGGGATCATGGGATCCATCTCCCCGTGGCACTGCAGGATGGCAATGTCCTTGTTCACACCGTTGTTCGCCGCCTGCCACGAGGAGGGGACACTCAGTGAGGGGACACCAATGGTGCTTTGTGTCCCCAACACAAGCCAGCAGTTCCCTCCTCACGAGGGAGAGCTGCAGAGGGAGCATCCCATGCCAGGGGTACCTGTGGGAAGGCCTTGTGCAGCGGGAGCCAGCAGCTGAGCGCCACGATCCCGGCCAGCTGGTGCTGGCAGGTGAGAGCCGTGTACAGCGACAAGGCACCGCCCTGCAGGGGGAACACACAGTCAGCGTGGATCAACGAGGGATGCAGGGACACCCTCAGGCCCAGCTCACACCCACCCATCCCCCTGTGACAGGTGGAGCAGGAATTGGGGTCCCTCACCTGTGAGAAGCCCCCCAGGATGATGCGGTTGGGGGGGATCCCGTTCTTCATCTCGTGCTCAATGATTGCTTTAACTGGAAGGAGATGGAGAAATGGGTCAGTGGAAGGGGAAAGGGCTGAAAAGCATCAGCCCATGCTTCAGGGTGCACATCAGGGACAGGGAGGTGCCAGAGAGGCCAGGGGAAAGTTTGCTGGGATCACAGGAGCAGAAACAAGGGAGAGGTGGAAGACACCTGCTCCATCACAGTGAGGGAGAGGCACACAACAGCTCACCACCTCCCCTCACAGAGCTCCTTACTGTTTTCTGCAGCTTTCTTGATCCCAGCTTCATCCTCAGGTGCATCTGGAGTCAATCCCATCAGGTCAAACCTGGGGGAAGCAGCAGGGTCAGCCAAAACCTCTCCCAGCACCCTGAGTGTGGGGAGGCAGGAGCTGGGGGTGCTCTGCCCTTCCCTGGCCCCCACAGGGCAGTGGATTTTGTTCCCCCATCCCTCCCACTCCCCACCCAGCCCTGTTCCCCGAAGCACTGACCAGGAGGGCATGACCATCTTCATGTTGAGGGTCACCGGGATCCGGGGCCTGTGGAGGAACATTTTGGGTGGTTGAGCTCAAGTGTGAGGGGAGCAGGAAGACTGACACCTCTCCCCTTCCTGCTGAGCCCCCTCCTGCCTGACCAGGGATGCACAGGGAGCTCCAGAGCCTTTTCCTTTCCCTGCAGCCATCAGGGATAAACAGGAAAAGAAGGGAAAGGAAAGAGTCTCTGGTGCTGCTCACTCTGTGGGAGCAGCTCTGCCTGCAGCAGGAGCTGACCACGGCAGCAGAGCCAGCCTGGCTGGGCAGCCCTGCTGGGCTCAGGCCTCCCCCAGCAGCCTTGGCAGCCTCAGGGCCCCCCAAGAAGCCCCCCAGAAGCCCCCCAGGGCAGCACTTACGCGTGAGGGCAGATGTACTTCACGTAGGGGAGGCGGATGGAGGAGAGAGCATCGGCCCAGCTGTGCCTGGGGAGGGACAGGAGATGAGCCCAAGGCTTGTCCCAGCCACTTTCCCTTGGCTGCTGCCCCCCAACCCCTCCCCTGAGCTTATTTACCCACCCCATCAGCCTGAACCCTCTTGAACCCACCCCAGCACTGATCCCATCTGAGGGGAGCACACAGAGCCCCAAAGCTGCAGGCAGGGAGGACAGGGAGGAGGGAGTGTCCAGACAGGGAGGAGGGAATCTCCTGGACAGGGAGGAGGGAATGTCCAGACAGGGAGGAGGGAATCTCCTGGACAGGGAGGAGGGAATGTCCAGACAGGGAGGAGGGGATCTCCTGGACAGGGAGGAGCCCTTTGTCACCACCATGGGACCTCCGAGGTGGCCTTGCAGAGCAGAGATGTCCTCATGCAGGCCCAGCCCTGCCAAGGCCTGGAAAAGCCGCAGTGCTTATCAGCAGTGCTTATCAGCAATCCCTGAAGGCAGCACAAAATCCACCCGTGGGGGGTGGGGGGCTGCCAGGCTGCTGGGATCATAAATATTCAAGAGCAGACAGCTGCCAGCAGCAATTCCCTGCCATTCCCAACCAGGCTGGTGCAGGAATGGCTGCAGACCCCAGCCCAAAGCCCCACACAAATCCTGGAGATGCCCTGAGGGAAAGCAGCAGCAAAAGGCTGGGATCTGCATCTGGCAAACCACACATCCCAGCCAGAGCAAGCTGCAGGGACACTCACCCCGTGTCTCCAAGGCCATGGAGGAAAATGACCTGTTAAACAGAGAAGGAAGGGAATTAGCTGGTGTGAGAGTCAGAGGGGGCAGGGCTGGGCTGGGCTGGCAGGGAGGTGGCAAATGGACACTTAGTCACCAACTCCAAGAGGCTCAAATTAGCGTGGAGCAGGGATGGGTGGGTCAGGGATGTGCTGTCATCCTGCCACAGAGCTGCCACGGGCAGGGCCCAACTCCTCTGCACAGCACAGGGACAAAGAGTGACAGATCATCCCACCAGGAGTGGCACCAGAGCACAGGCCCAGCCTGAATCCCAGAAGGGGCTGGAAGGGACCTTAAAGCCCCTCCAGTGCCACCCTGCCATGGCAGGGACACTTCCACTGTCCCTGGCTGCTCCAAGCTCCATCCAACCTGGTCTGGGACACTGCCAGGGATCCAGGGGCAGCCACAGCTGCTCTGGCACCCTGTGCCAGGGTCTGCCCACCATCACAGGGAGCAATTCCTTTCCTCTGTCAACAAGGACTCACAAATCCACCTCCACAAGCTCTTCATCTCAGGCTCCAGCACCCCCTAAGCCTTGGAGAGCAGAGGGAAGGCAGCCTGCAGACCCCAGGGAAGGACTGAGGGGGGTTCCTTTGGGAGATTTGCTTTTAAAAGCTTAAAAGCCCAATCAGCCCTAAGCCTGTGCCTTGCCGAGCTGAGCTCTCACCTTGGAGCAGAGAGGACAGCACAGAGCCCTTGCTGGCCTGCTCATGGAAGCAGCTCTGTTTTCCGTGGGGGGCAGCAGGGGAAGGAGGGAGGGAAGGAGGGAGGGAAGGAGGGAGGGAGGGAAGGAGGGGCAGCCCTTACCGCGGCAGTCTCCCGCTCTGCCCCTGACACGGTGACAGCGTCGGCGAGGAGGGGGACAGACATGTTGTTACCACACATACACCGAGAGGGGTCGACACTGGCACCTGCGGGAAAACAAACCTGTCAGCCCCCTCCAGCAGCTGCTTCACCCACGGCAGCAGCTGTCTGGGGGGGAAATTAAAGAGCAGGTGAAGGCTTCGAGGGTGGAACACCCCACGCTGTGGCCTGGCACTGCTGGAGAGCAACGCTCCCCGCGTGGGGCGCTGCAAGTGTTAAAATTAGCCTGGAAATTACACCTCAGAGCCAGAGTTATTCCTGTGGCTGCACCGGCGTGGGCAGAGGGCGGCTGGGCAGCGCAGCTCAGCATCCCCTCATCCCTGCAGCCCTTCCCTGAGCTGGGCAGGAGCCTGACCCACATCTGCTCCGAGCAGGAAGCAGGAAAGCCTCGGCACGCAGCTGCACGGGCTCTGCTGCACCCATAAAGGTCCAGCCCTGCTTTATGGGGCTGTTTAGGATGAACCAGAGCTCTGGGAGCTGGTCTGAGCCTCCCCAGTGATGGAAAACACCCCTGTGGCTGCCCAGGGCAGCAGGCAGGGTGGGCACTGCTGTCCTGTGCCCTGCCAGACCCCACAGGGCTGACTGCAGCCAGCCTTCAGCCACAACAGTCCACGGTGTTTGCTCCCACTACGCCACAAACCACAGCTGCTGCTCCCCACAATCTGCCCTGACCCCGCTGACCACCTCACTGATTAGATCAGAGCTTGTTTAGGGCACTGCCATTATCCCCCAGGAACAGGATCAGCCTTGGGAGCGCGATCACAGAATATCCTGAGCTGGAAGGGATGGAGGATCATCCATCCAGCCCCTGTCCCTGCCCAGACTCCCCAAAAACCCACCCTGAGCATCCCTGGAGTGCTGTCCAAAGGCTCCAAGGAGGGAGGGAGGGAAGGAGGGAGGGAAGGAGGGAGGGAGGGAAGGAGGGGCAGCCCTTACCGCGGCAGTCTCCCGCTCTGCCCCTGACACGGTGACAGCGTCGGCGAGGAGGGGGACAGACATGTTGTTACCACACATACACCGAGAGGGGTCGACACTGGCACCTGCGGGAAAACAAACCTGTCAGCCCCCTCCAGCAGCTGCTTCACCCACGGCAGCAGCTGTCTGGGGGGGAAATTAAAGAGCAGGTGAAGGCTTCGAGGGTGGAACACCCCACGCTGTGGCCTGGCACTGCTGGAGAGCAACGCTCCCCGCGTGGGGCGCTGCAAGTGTTAAAATTAGCCTGGAAATTACACCTCAGAGCCAGAGTTATTCCTGTGGCTGCACCGGCGTGGGCAGAGGGCGGCTGGGCAGCGCAGCTCAGCATCCCCTCATCCCTGCAGCCCTTCCCTGAGCTGGGCAGGAGCCTGACCCACATCTGCTCCGAGCAGGAAGCAGGAAAGCCTCGGCACGCAGCTGCACGGGCTCTGCTGCACCCATAAAGGTCCAGCCCTGCTTTATGGGGCTGTTTAGGATGAACCAGAGCTCTGGGAGCTGGTCTGAGCCTCCCCAGTGATGGAAAACACCCCTGTGGCTGCCCAGGGCAGCAGGCAGGGTGGGCACTGCTGTCCTGTGCCCTGCCAGACCCCACAGGGCTGACTGCAGCCAGCCTTCAGCCACAACAGTCCACGGTGTTTGCTCCCACTACGCCACAAACCACAGCTGCTGCTCCCCACAATCTGCCCTGACCCCGCTGACCACCTCACTGATTAGATCAGAGCTTGTTTAGGGCACTGCCATTATCCCCCAGGAACAGGATCAGCCTTGGGAGCGCGATCACAGAATATCCTGAGCTGGAAGGGATGAAGGATCATCCATCCAGCCCCTGTCCCTGCCCAGCCTCCCCAAAAACCCACCCTGAGCATCCCTGGAGTGCTGTCCAAAGGCTCCTGGAGCTCTGGCAGCCTCAGGGCCGTGTCCATTACTCTCTGAGGAAAAACGTTTCCCTGATCTCCATCCTAAACCTCCCCTGGCTGAGCTCCAGCCCCTCCCAAGGTCCTGTCCCCATCCCAGAGACCAGAGCCGCCCCTGGGGACACCTTTCCTCACCCTGCACACCCTGCCCCAGCTCCACCTCCCACAGCAGCACCATCCCCAGCGGGTCAGGGCCACACAGACCACCCCAAACCCCCCCAAAAACCACAGAGTGCCAGCAGCCAGCCTTACCCAGGAGAAACAGCCTGCTCTGCGTGGCAGCCCGGCCGAGACCTGCCCGACTCGTTCCACCCACTGCTCGTCAGCCGCTTCCCCACTCAAACAAAACCACCGGGAGCAGAGCAGCTCCCCGGCTCTGACACAGCCACACGTGCCCTCCCGTGGGTGCTCCAGGGGCAAAACAAGCCCGGAGAGGAACAACACCTGCCAAAAACCCCGGCAGGGAGACACAGACACGGCCAGGAATGACAGAGACACGGCCAGGAATGACAGCACCGTCCCCCGGCAGCGATGGGGTGCGCTCCTTGCTGGGGAGGATCCAGGGATGCTCAGAGCTGCCCCAAACATTCCCCCTGGGAATCTCAAAATTTCTCCTGGGAATCTCAAAATTTCTCCTAGGAAACTCAAAATTGCTCCTGGGAATCTCAAAATTTCTCCTGGGAATCTCAAAATTTCTCCTGGGAATCTCAAAATTTCTCCTAGGAAACTCAAAATTGCTCCTGGGAATCTCAAAATTTCTCCTGGGAATCTCAAAATTGCTCCTGGGGATCCCAAAATCCCTCCTGGGGATCCCAAATTCCTCCTGGGAACCCCAAAATTTCTCCTGGGATCTCAAAATTTCTCCTAGGAACCTCAAAATTTCTCCTGGGGATCCCAAATTTCTCCTGGGAACCCCAAAATTCCTCCTGGGAACCCCAAAATTTCTCCTGGGATCTCAAAATTTCTCCTAGGAACCTCAAAATTGCTCCTGGGAATCTCAAAATCCCTCCTGGGGATCCCAAATTTCCTCCTGGGAACCCCAAAATTTCTCCTGGGATCTCAAAATCCCTCCTGGGAACCTCAAAATTTCTCCTAGGAACCTCAAAATTGCTCCTGGGGATCCCAAAATCCCTCCTGGGGATCCCAAATTCCTCCTGGGAACCCCAAAATTTCTCCTGGGATCTCAAAATTTCTCCTAGGAACCTCAAAATTGCTGCTGGGGATCCCAAATTCCTCCTGCGAACCCCAAAATCCCTCCTGGGAACCCCAAAATCCCTCCTGGGAATCCCTGCCCCGCTCCTGGAGGGAGCACAAGGGGACCCCCAGGATAAACCCCTCAGACGTGCCCGTGTGGGTGTAAAGGCACAATCCGAACCAGGAGGTGAATTTGGGTCCGGTTCCGAGGTGTGGCACCCACCGGTGGCACCGGACGCGTTCATCAGGCGTTAATTAGCGTTAATTACCGTGCCTCAGCCTCTCCCCCGGGCCCTGAGCCCCGCCGGGAGCGGAATCCAGCGGGGGGCTGCAGAAATCCCGCCTGGCAGCGGAGGGAGGCGGGATCTCCCCACGACCGGGAGCGCCGGTTTCCTCGGTGGTACGTGCCGCCGCCCCCCCCTCCCCGCACCTCTCCCGCGGCCCGGCGCGCGCGCTCCTCGCGGCTCCCCCCAGACGCGCTCCCACAGGAACTTCCGGCAGCGCGGCGGAAGTGACGCAGAGCGGCGCCGGGAACGACCGGGCGGCCATGGTGGGAACGGGCACCGGATCGCGCTGGGAACCGCGGCCGGGCCGGCCCCGACCGCGCCCTCAGCGCGTTATCGGCGGCACGGCCCCGCCCTGCCCCCGGCGGCTGACGGGTTACGGGGACGGGCCCCCGCCGGTGCCACCGGTGGACACGGCAGGGCCGCGACTCAGGGACAGCGCACAGCTCTGCACCGCAGCGTGTTTATTGTCAGTCACGGCCGGTAGCGGCCCCGCACGCGGCTCGGTGGAGGCTCCAGAGCGGCCCCGCCGCCCCGCGTCTGTCCCGCCGCCGCGGAGCCGCTGCCGAGCTCCGGGAAGCCGGTCCCGCCCCGGGCGGGCTCCCGTTAGGAGATGAAGTGAGTCTGGGGGGTGATCTGTTCCAGCTTGTGGTCGGCCGGGTTCGCCGAGGCTTCGTAGTTGCAGATGGTGACTTCGTGGCGATGGGCCTGGGTGGAGAGGAGCGTTTAAAATCCGCGAGAAGGAACTGCAGCCCCTCCCTCGCTCCTGCTCTGCTCTCACCTCCGTCCACTCCCCTTTCAGCCCGATGTAAAAAATCTTGGTTGTCTCAGCTCCGAAGTTCTTTGGGAAGTGCATGGAGAGGTGGTAAACGTTGGAGAAACGGGCGATTCTGGGGGAAAACACAGCGTGAGACCAGAGCTGCTCCTGCGGGCCCCAGCAAGGGGGGACAGCAGCCAGGGTGATTCTGCACCCCAGCAATTCCTGCCCCAGGCTCTGGGATGGAGCTTGCAGAGGGCAGGACAGAGCTGGGGAGGAGAAATCCTCCTGAGGGCAGCTGTGAGGCCCTGCCCTGTGCTGAGCCTTCCCGTGGCAGGCAGGAGCAGCCCCCAGGCCCCTCTGGCTCCTACTTGGTGGGATATTCCAGCTCTCCCAGGGGATCCCGGCTCAGGCTGAAGGTCTGCTCTGCCTCCTTGGCTGTGTCATCAAAGGACATGTGAGGAATGTTCCTGAACCTGGCAGGACAAGGAGACCCAGGCAGTTATTAACAGCATGCCAGCTAATTGGATTCCATCCATTAACACTGCCCAGCTTCTTCTCCACAAAGAAATGGAGCGACTTTGTCTTCAGCAGTGGCACAGAGCCCCCAGCTGGGGAGGGGAAGCTGCTTTTACTCACAGCCTCATCTCAGCCGGGTGTGTCCCATCATCCTCGCCCATCACGATGACTCCTTTCAGCTTCACGCTGCCCGTGAACCTGCCCAGGCACACGGGTGGTCACCCAGGGCTGCCCCAGGGCAGGGCAAGGAGCCCTGGCCCAGCCAGGACGGGGCCAGAGGGGTGGAACTCACGGGATGTTGAAGAGCAGCTCCTCGTCGTCGTCGCTTTCCACGAACTGGGGAGAGAGAAGAGCAGGTCAGGGGACACAGGGGACAGCTGCAGGGATCACCCCAGCGGGGTTCAGGGGGCCCCACGGGACCTTGCTGACACAATCCCACAATGTTTGGGATTGGAAGGGGCCTCTGGATCTGGGGGGGGCTCCCAGGAGCGGAAAGACGCGGCCCCGTTATCGCACCGCGGCCCCCCGGCCCCTCTCCCCGTGGCTCTGCCACCCTCGTGGAAAGAAGTTGGGGTGGAACTTGTTGTGTTTTATTTTATGGCCATTGCTCCTCGTCCTGTCCCTGAACAGAGCCTGGCACTGTCCTCTGACACCCCTGGGGATATTTTATGGTTTATGGGGTCCCCTCTGACACCCCTGGGGATATTTTATGGTTTATGGGGTCCCCTCTGACACCCTTAGGGATATTTTATGGGATGCCCTCTCAGCCCTCCCTCCTCCAGACCGACCAGGCCCCGCTCCCGCAGCCTCCCCTCCCCAGGGCGATGCTCCAGACCCCAAACCATCTTAGTGGCCTCCGCTGGACCCCCTCCAGCAGCTCCTCCCGTCCTGGGAGGCCCAGGCCCGGACACCGCTGTGCCTCCCTGGGCCCGAGCCGAGGGCAGGATCCCCTCCGTTCCCGGTGCCCGCCCCGCTCCCGGCCCCACCTGCGAGCGGTCCCCGCGCTCCTCCCAGGGGCGGAACACGGTGGCTCCGGAGCCCTCGCGGCGCTCGTTGAGGCACTGCAGGCGCTGCCGGTCGATGCGCAGGTACAGCCCCCAGGCCGCGCCGCGCTCCGCCGCCTCCTCCCCGCAGCAGCGGCACCGGCCGGGCCCGTGCCCGTGCGCCATGGCCGCGCCGGGACTGCCCAGCGCGCATGCGCGGCGCCGGGACACGCCCACAGTGTCTCAGGGCACGCCCCGGTGCCGCATAAACCACGCCCATAATGCTCGTGGGGCACGCCCATCTCGCTGATGTCACAGCATATATTAATCAGACTCGCCCATGTGTTTATAGCCACGCCCACGCAAACCGGTGATTGGTCCGATGTGTTGTAACCACGCCTATGTGGGCGTGGCGTGGCTCTGCACGTGCTGAGCCCGTGAACGGCCCGCTGTTCCCGGGGAGGGGTCCCGGTGGTCCCGGCGGTCCCGGGAAGGGGTCCCGGTGGTCCCGGCCCGCCCCGACCCCACCCGGGGAATGGCGAAGCTGCCGCTTTCCCGCAAAGGCTCCGCGGGTATTTTCCGCGGGGATCGTCCCAAGCAGCGCAGGAATGGGAGCAGCACCCCGAATCCAGCGCCGGGGCAGGATACCGGGGCAGGATACCGGAGCATCACCCTCCGAGGAGCCACGGAGTTTCCCCACGGTGTGTTTAACATTCGTTGTCAGTGTCAGGAAAGAACGAGCAGCCACAGTCCAGTGTTTGGCTTTTATTGAGACATGATTCTCCTTCTTTTTCATATAACTTATCTAATTAAAATATTCATCTTAGTTACCACAAAAAAAAGGAACATAGAAAATTGTATATATACACAGTTTGGGACCAAAATACAAATACGAGTCCAAGTCACTCCCCATCCTCCTCCTCCTCCTCCTCCTGCAGGGATGGTGGGAGGGGGAAGAGGCAGCTCTGCTCCACCCTTCAGTGGTGGAGCACAGAACAACTGCACAGTGTCACAGAGCACTCTGACCCCACACTCTGCCTGCTGTGTCCCCCAGGGAAATATCCCACTCTGCTCCCAGCTGAGGGCCGTGCCCACCTCTCCCCGGGCTGGATTTAGTGCCCGAGCACAAGGAAGGGAAGGGTGAGGGGCTGGCATGGCCCCTGTGAGAGCAGAGTCACCTCCCTGCAGTGCCACAAGGAAAACACGGACACAGCTGGCAAAACCTGGAGCAAAAAGCTCTGGGAGGGAAAGAGCATCTCCCCAGAACAGCAATGCTTGGGACATGCCCACAGCTGCCTGTGGAGCTGTGAGATCAATTCATTGGCAGTTTAGCAGTGCCCAGAATTGCTCCTGGGCATCGCCCAGATCCTTTGCTCAAAGCTCCATCGTGTCTGAACAACGCCAGGCTCTGCTTCCCTCCCCTCTGCCCCTGCCCCGAGTACAGAGGAGAAATAAACAGTAGCACAAGGGTCAGCAGAAGAGAATATATTGTTATCTAATTAAAAATACAGCAAAATTAAATACAGCAAAAACACGGGAGAGTAAGGAGCCATTATTTTACAGCACAACACACACTGAAATGCTGCACGGGAACATTAAAGCATCTGGGACTGTAACAAACATACAGCACGTGAGAGTCTGAGAACATTTTTCCAAGAATTCCAAACTAAACAAAGAACAGACCAAATAAACAGGAGACAGGTGTTCAGAATGGTTTTAAAGAAAGACATGCCTTTAAAGGAGGTGGGGAAAAAAAAAAAAAAGGAAAAAAAACAAACAACCCAACAGAAAGCAGAAGCAAAAGAGGGATTTTTCTAGAGCCCTCCAGGGAGGACCCTTCACAGCAAGGTTTCCCCCGGTCAGTGCACACAGACAGCTCCACTGGTTTGGGATTTGGCAGCCACGGAAAGCCAGCAGCAGAGCTTCTCAGGAGCTGCCAACAACAACAGCATCCACTACCAGCATCTTTTCCACCCAGACAGCAAAGTCCTAGGGCAGCAAATATGGCTTGGAACAGGAGAATCCCTCCCCTCCCTGACCCAGTCGGACCCCAGAGCCCTCCCAGAGGGGCCTGGGGTCTCCCCAGCCCCATCCTCTGCTTGCAGCACCCCTGGGGTTCCCTTTGGGGCAGACAAAACACAAGCAGAAACCTTCCCCAGACTCACCCCACAAGCAGAAACTTCCCCAGCAGCACAGCACAGCTCCTGGCTGTGTCCAGCCCTGGTGAGCCCAGCTGCCATCCCCACATCCTCAGCAGGGCTCTGACCTTTCCAGGAGCTTCAGGGCACTCCCTGACATTCCCAGCAAGCCCCTTGTCCTTCCTGAGCTCCAGCTCCTCACACGCCAGGTACAAGGGAGCCTTTGGAACTCCTGCTCTGAAGGACACACACGTGTTACAACAGCCACATTCCGTTGCTCACTTCCCTCCAACCTCATTCAAGTGGTTTCAGGTTCAAGGACCAAAATCCTTGGATTTTTCCAAAGAAGGGACAGAGCAAAACGTACAGGGAAAAGACAGGATTTAGGCACCAGCTTCCCAACTGGAAATAAATCCATTGCAATTCCACACAGAAAACAAGACAGAAGAGTTCCTTCCTTCTTCCCATTAAAAGAGGCAAACAATGCCTTCACTGGTATTTAAAAACTGTTTTCCATTGCAAAGTCCCCTATCTCTCTCCAGATAAAAAGTTAAAATCTGACTTGATGCACAGTAAAAGTTCTCCCAAATCCCTGGCAGTTTCATTCCCAGTAGCCAGCAGAAGACAACAGCAGCAGAGGAAACGTCCCCAAAGGCTCTTGGCATCCCTGCAGGACCACAAAAGCACCTGTACAGGATCTACAGCAACAGCACAGAGAGGGTCAAGAGCTCAGATTTTATTGACACACACGAGCAGGGAGCAAAGCCTCAGGGCTGGATGCACTTGCCAAAGGACTGGCAAGTGGCTGGGCCACTGGTTCTACCTGTCCCAGAGTCTCCAGGTGAGACTTTGGGCCCAGCAGGTACCAGGAAAGGCTCCTGAGACACCCAGTGTCCACTCAGATGGATTCCAGCTCGAGTCACCAAGGCTGACCCCAGGACTGGGTTGGGAGGGGAGGGACTACTGGGAGCAACATAAATAAAACAACAGGGTAGAGGGGCAAAATATTAATTAAAACCATTTTATAATTTATTAAGAGGTTAAATAGTAAATAAGTCTCTGGATCTTCCACTCTCAGCAGGTGCCAAGATTTCACATTTTCCTGTGTCAGGAGATTCTGTACACCCTTCTTTCGATGGATGACAAAGCCAGAAACAGAATGTTGAGGACAGGGGGTAAAAGAGGGGGGCTTGACACTGAGAAAGGGACCAGAATAAAAGATAAAATACTGTGCCGTCATCTTGTGCAGATTGAAGCTTCTCCCAGCAGCTGCAGCCTCCGAAGAGTTCAAGGATAAGGAAGGGCTGTTTGGGTGCCTTCTCCCCCTCCAGTGCCACTCCTCCCCAAGAGAGAAAGGCCCAGCTCAGCACTGCAAACTTATCTCCGAGAGAACCTGTTTTTGAAAGCTTTGATAGTCTTTGCCATCATTGGTGCAATTTCTGTAAAAGAGAAAAAAAACAAACAAACCACCACTGAATGAAACAAAAAAGCCCCCACATGAAAGGAAAAGTGATAGAAGAAGAGCTGAGAGCAATTGAAAGCTGCAGCCCTGGCAGACACCAGTGTTTGAGCAGAGCCCATCAGAGTTTTTAGGTCACAGACTGAGGAGAAGGCACTGCTCTCTGCACTGCACCAGCACAGATCCCTGGTTAAACCCTCCCTGCTTCCTTCCTGAGAGAGCTGCACTCCCATTCCAAACAGCTGGACAGACACAGGGCAGCAGGAGGACAGACAGAGGTTCTGCCTCACTGGTACCATCAGGACAGGCTGATGCAGTCAGCTCTGAGTGGGTGAATCCCATGTTTCCCTTTGCTGCTCCTCACACAACAAGTTTGAACAGAGAGAGAGGACAGACACCAACATCAACCCTCCTGCACAGCCTGGAATTCTCCCCCAGCAGAAGGAGAAGCTCTAAGAGGCCACAGGGATGTGCTGCAGGTTGTACTTACTCTTCACAGGGGGTTTCCTGGGGTCGTAGGAGGAGAAGGTGCTACCTGAAGATGGGACCGAGTGGGCGCTGCTGGTGCTGGGCCCATCGTAGGACTGCTCGTCACTCGCCCGAGCGTGGCTTTTGCTGGATGTGTACAGGACTGGTTTTATTCTGCAACACACACAGGACAGGCATTGCCATAACAGATTCACCGTGGCTTGAGGCAATTCTACAGACACAAGGCACGTTTGTAACAGCAGCAGCGCTGATACAAGGTGGGACCAGCAGTGACCTGGATCTCGGAGCTTCCCAGCAGGAAACAGGTGATTACAGTTACAAGTGTCCCTGCAAAAGGAGCTGCCAGACACACAGTATCCTTCCCTGAGCTTCAGGGGGCAGCTGGCAGGAGGCCCTGAGCAGCAAGTGCTACAGAGAAACACTCACTTGGTCTTCTCTGGCAGAAGAGGGCCTCCAGTTCCAAACTTCTCCTGTCTCCTCCGAACGTCCCGAGGGGGCTTCGCTGCAGAGTTCACAAATGCCATCTTGGCCACTCTCCCTGCAAGAGGCCAGAGGGAAACATCACTTACATCCAGCTGGCTCTAAAGGAGGCTCCTCACTGCTTGTCTTACTACTGATACTTCATCCACCTCTCCCCAGTCCATCCATTCCAAAGAAATAGTGACAGTTTCCTTCCTAAGGTCTGAACCTCTCGCAGTGAGAGAGGTTTTCATTATGTTCACCCAAAAATCAGAAATGTTTCCCCCCACCCTGGGGGGAACAAGCCACATGGAACAGGAACCTGCTCATCATTACTGTAAAATATTGAGCTGCATCAACACCATCGCGCATGAAAGCAAGACACCGCTAAACCACAGAACAAAGGAGCACACAGAGCCAAGCAGCTCCTAAACCAGACTTGTGTTAAGCCCAAAAGGGCTGCCCCAGCCCCACCTTTGGGCTTGTTGGCGTGGGCAGAGCCGATGTTGCGTGCCAGCATGAGCAGGCGCTGCTCGCGCGCGTCGTGCAGCCGCAGGTACATCTCCCGCCACGACTCGAACTCCTCGGGCTTCTCGTTCTTGAAGTCTCGCAGGCAGTGGTTGTGCCACAGCTGATCCGTGTCCTCCACCAGCACCTGAAGCAAACCCACACAGAGCTGGGATCCCT